AGAATTGTTTGGAAGATGTTGCTGAGTGCCTATAATGTTAAAAAAAAGGCATTTGGCTTAAAAGTGAACAACATTTAATGGTCCTTATTGAGGGCCACACATTACTTTTGTATATATCTTTAAGTACAGCATCTCATTTGATCCTTTCAAGAGCCCTATGACGTAGGTCTGTTTGGCATCCCTGTTTTACCCTGACATCACTTTTACTGGTGAGGAGCCTGTGCCACAGACCTCATAACCTACTAATAGATACCCAGTTATACCCAGGCAGTCTGACTTCAGACTTGAGAACTAAGGCCTCGTAAGAACTTTGTAAAGTCATTGTACAAATTAAAAGAGAAATAAGAAGGAAGCAGAAGGGTGGGAGTGAGGGAGGGTATGGTGGGAAGTAAAATGCTCTTAAAACTACACATGAAATAAAAAAAAGTGTTATTACAAAAATTAAAGGAAAGAAAAGAAAGAAGGAAGAGGGTTTGAGGGAGGAAGGGAAGCAAAAGTATGCTTATCATCTTAGAATTGTATCTGAAATACGTGAAATCTGTTCTCATATTACTACTTTGTAAACATAGGCAAATTATTCACTATTTCTCATCTTGTTTCCTCCTCTGTAAAATAGGAATAATACTGGCACTACTAGTGCCGTGGGGTTGTCTTCCATGTCAGTGCTTTGCACAGCATTATCTTTCAGGTACTTTCCCAGCCCTCTGGGATGATGGCAGAGTCAGCGCGACCTAAGATACCCCAGTCAGTCCGTGGTAGCTGCTGGCTCTGTGAAGTTGTCACTGTTATTTAATCTGTGTCTGGAAACTGCAATTATTTTCTTAAAATCAATAGGACCATGCTGTATATATTGCATCACGTTGGGGAATGAACTGTTTTTCCTCATCCTCTTGTATTGGGTTAAGAGTCGATCGCAGTTGCTGTACTGTCACCGCTTGTGCGGATGGCGCTGTAACAGTGAAGACTTGAGAGAGCTTCAGTCCAGGTGCTGGCGCTCATTGGCTTTGATTCAGAAGCTTTGTGACGCGGACACTGGGAATGTAATCTCACCACAGACATGCATTTCTATGGTGACTCTGGAAAGTTCTCTGTGTTTGAAGTTAGCATTTTTTGACCCAAAAGGATGACTGCATTTTTGTTTGGCTGTGTTGTACATGTCCCTGTAAATCTGTATCAGTGTTGGTGTATCAGTCACAGCTCTCCAGAGAGAACCAATAGTGTCTGCCCCTCTCTCTTCTTCTCTCTGCTACTCTTGCTCTCACTCCAAGAGATTATTTTAAGGAATACACTCATGTGACTGTTGGAACTGGCAGGTCCAAACCCTTATAGGACAGCCCAGCAGACTAGAATGCAGGCAGAATTTCTATGTGACAGTCTTGAGACTGAATTATTTCTTCTCTTAAAAACTTCAGCTTTTGTGATTAAGGCCATCCAGTGATTGAACGAGGGCTGCCTGTATTATGGAGGGTAATCTCCTTTACTTAAAAGTCAACTGGCTGTCCATGTTAACCTCATCTATAAATGTGTGTGTTATCCTTGATTTACAATTGAGTTCTGTTCCAATAAACCCACCATAAATGAAAACTACTTTTGAGCCAAAAATGTGTGTGATGTCCCTGAGCCACTCAGTGTGGTGGCTGAGCCACACAGTTCACTGCAGAGAGTCCATTGTTGACTCTCATGGTTGTGGGGATGGCTGGGTGCTGTGGCTTACTGCTGCTGTCGCCCAGCATTGCAAGAGAGAACTGGACTGCATATCACTAGCCCAAGAAAAGATGAAATTCAAAATTTGAAATACAATTTCTGTTGCCTGTGTACTTATTTTATGCCATTGTGAATTTGAGAAATGGTAAGGCAAACCACTCTAAGGCAGAGAGGGCCTATACCTTCACAGTAATAGCTGTCCTAGAGTTTGACCAAACAAGTGTGCACCATAGCCTCACCAAGTTGGTACCTAATATTTGATTTCTCCCAATTTTTGTGAAAGCATCTATTGCTGACATCCACCAGTTTTATTTTATTTTTTTTATTTATTTTAAAAGCAGAATGTTGGGTCCAGAGGTGGGGAAAGGGAACAGGGGGAGAGTGATCTTTCATCTGCTGTTTCACTCTCCCAGACGGCTGCAAAAATCAGGTCTGGGCCAGGCTAAAGCCAGGAGCTAGGAACTACCCCATGGATGGCAAGGGCCCAAGCACCTCCTCCACTGCCTTCCAAGGCTCATTAGCAGGAAGCTGGATCAGAAGTGGAGCAGCCAGGATATGGGATACTGCACTACAAGTGGCAGCGTAACCCACTGCACCGCAATGCTGGCCCTAGCATCCACCCGTTTAACAGCACATCCTGGTGCAGATCCAATGCTGGTGTTCCAATGACTTTATCAGGAGCATAGACACTTCATGCTTTCCTCCCTAAGGTATTTTAGTAGCATTTCGGTTGGCAGGCTCAGAGGAAAAAGGAGAAAGTTTTGAGAAGAGGAAAAAGTCTTCACTATGCAGTGTATAAACTACGAACTGTTTTTTTTTTTTTTTTTTTTAAAGATTTATTTGAAAGACAGAGTTACAGAGAGAGGTAGAAACAGAGAGAAAGGTTTTCCATCTGCTGGTTCACTACCAGGTGGCCGCAATGGCCAGAACTGCACCGATCCAAAGCCAGGAGCCAGGAGCTTCTTCCAGGTCTCCCACGTGGGTGCAGGGGCCCAAGGGCTTGGGCCATCTTCCACTTTTTTCCCAGGCCATAGCAGAGAGCTGGATTGGAAGAGGAGCAGCTGGGACTAGAACCGGCACCCATATGGGATGCTGGCACTTCAGGCCAGGGTTTTAACCTGCTGCACCACAGCGCCAAGCCCTTGACTGTTGTTTTTTTTTTTTTTTTTTTTTTTTTAATGTTCTACAGTGTGCCAGACCAAGGACAGTTCCTGCTTCTAGGGGTTGCAGTTTGGTCCAGCAAGGTCTCCAGGAATGCAAATGGGTGTGATAATGCATGGCAGTGGGCTCACCAAGGACTGGTGAAGAGCTGCATTGGAGAGGATGGAGACTGAGGGTCGGGAATGACTCCGCTGATGCAGAGGCCTGAAAGGAGGGGGCTGGTTTGCAGACTCCCTCTGGAGAAGTCCAGGAAGAGTAGAGATCCTGCGAGGACAGTAAGATGTGAGGCCAGACAAGTGGTTGCTGGGCCACCTAACAGGCAGGCAAGGGTGAAAGGCTAGGACTAGGGGACTCAGCAAGGCCAGGGAGACAGGCGAGGGCTAGATCATGGGTTCTGGATTTTATCCCATTAGCGATAAGGATGAGCCATGGAGCAGTTTTGAACCAGAGAATAACATAGATAGGACTCTTTATATTTTAAGATTATTTGTTGGGGAGGCAGAGAGACAGAAAAAGAGAGATAGACACAGATGAAAAGGGCTCCCATCCTCTTGCTTATACCCAAAAAGTCCACAATGGTGGGGGCTGGACCAGTCCAAAGCCAGGAGTCTGGAACTTAATCAGGATCTCCCATGGGTGACAGGAACCCAACTACTTGAGCTATATCTGTTGCCTCCCAGGATTTGCAGAAGTAGAAAGCTGAGTCAGGAGCTAGAGCCAGGGATTGAACCCAGGCATTCTGATATGGGAAGCAGGTGTCATAACCAAGGTCTTGGCCAGTAGGCCAAATGCCTACCCCACAAGAAGATTAGTGTTTAAAATTCAGTCAAATACTACAGCTATTTCAAACCCACATAGAATAGGAATTTGTGTTAGGAAATCTCTGGGAAAATGAATTTCACTGCAGCCTGTGGTGTCAGTACTGCTTCAGAGCAGCCTTTCAATGGAAACAAGCAGGTGTGTGAAGGATCTGTGAAAGAGTTCGGTTCACAGTTAATTCAGAACGGGCACAGTTGAAGTAAGGATTCAGCGTGATAGATGGTGAAAAAAATGAAAGAAGCTTCTGAGCCCATTCAGATTCACTTTTCTCTTCATGAAAATTCTCATTTGTTGAGTCATGACATAGTATCATCACTTTATTTTTTTAAATTCTGTTGTGTTCATGATTTAAAGTAATTTATGGTAGTCTTTTGCATGGCACTCATACTTCATTTCACTCCAATATGCCCAGCACAGAACTGGGCACATAGAAGCCACTCTGTATATACAGGTAGGTGGATTTGTCTTAAAATAATTGAATTCTGGGCTGGCATTATAGCACAGTGGGTTAAGCCACTGCCTACAGTGCCGGCATCCCATATGGGTGCTGGTTCGAGTCCCAGCTGCTCCACTTCCAATCTACCTCCCTGCTAATGCATTTGGGAAAGCAGGGGCAGATGGCTCAAGTGCTTGGGCCCTTGCACCCATGTGGGACACCCAAATGATGCTCCTGGCTCCTGGTTTCAGCCTGGCACAGCCCAGGCTATTGTAGCCATTTGGAGAGTGAACCAGCAGGTGGAAGATCTCTCTGTCTCTTTCTCTGTCTCCCCCTCTCTAATTCTAACTCTGCCTTTCAAATACATTAAAAATTAAATCTTTAAAAAGCTGAATTCCCTACTCAAATCCTTTTTGTTTCTGACTGGCGTTAAGGAGATGGACAGTGAAGTGGGAGGCACTTACAGGATCTAGAGGCAGATGCAGCTCCTAGGAAGCTGGCTGGTGCTAGTCAAAGTGTCATTTTCCTTTTCACATGCTCTCATGGTTTCTGCTAGTTAACAGCAAAAAGGAACTTCAAATCAAGGAGCAGCATGTCCTCCTGAGGCTTCAGGCCAATCGATGGTTTTACTCTGGGTATCGACAGCTCTCTGCTGAATGTCCTTGTCTGTGCCTACGTGGGTTGACTGTTGTGAAATGGATTATACTGCTTTGATTGCCTCTCCGACTTTAATCAGTGCCCAGCAAGTACTGTGTGTGGAGGGCCTGCAACTCTCCTTTGCCTTTTAATTGTTGGGACTGTGGGGCTATTGATGGTACTGCTTCCTGTATTCAATCCTCGACTGATCAGGTTTTCACCCTGAGCTTATGCTTCTTTGCAGGACGCCACCGTTTGGAAGCCCGATTCATGCCAGAACTGCCGTTGCCATGGTGACATTGTTATCTGCAAACCCGCCATTTGCAGAAACCCTCGGTGTGCTTTTGAGAAGGTATGGTGTCCTAGCTGCATCTTCCATGTATTGGTGAGCTCAGTGAAGGGCAGAGTTTCTGTTACCACAGCCCCTCCTTGGGAGCTTTAGGAAAAGTAGAGGATAATTTTAACATTGTATCTAAACTATATTTATTTTCACTTATTGAGCAGTTATTTTGCACCAGGTATTCAGCTAAAGGTTTTGCAAGTGTTATCCAGTTAGGGTTATGTTGGGTAGGTATGTTTATCTCCACTTCACAGATGACAAAAATGAACGCTGGAGAATTTAAGCAGTTAACCATGATTATGCAATTAATAAACTGCTACCCAGAGGTTTTACTCCAAGTCTCACAGATGCCAAAGCTAACTGCGACATCTACAGAACGTTGAACGGAGTTAGAGAGAGAAAGAGAGAGGTCTTCCATCTGCTAGTTCACTCCCCAAATGGCCACAAATGCTGGGACTGGACCAGGTTGAAGCTGGGATCCTGGATCTCCATCCGGGTGTCCCACATGGTGGCAGGGGCCCTAGTACTTGGGCCATTTTGCACTGCTTTCCCAGGCACATTAGCAGGGAGCTAAACCAAAAGAGGAGCAGCCAGGTCTTGAAACCAGATCTCATATGGGATGCCGTTATCATAGTCTGCAGTGTAACCTGCTGAGCCACAACCCGGCCCCTTGATGATGATGTTCCAGAAACATCATTTGGGTCTGCCCCTCAGTCTATTACGGTGCTGTGCTGCCTTTGTCTTCCTTGCAACACACGAGAGTCTCCTTGCATTTGACCAAGTGACATTTCCTCCTCTCCTGTCTGTGAAAAATGTCCAGTTTTTTTCTGACCATGTATCTGTTCCACTGGGAACATGTTTCACTAGGTGTTGACTTTTTAAAGTGAATGTATTTGTTAAAAAAAATAACTTAAGCTTTAAATTGAACATTTGCAGCTCCCTTGGAGAAGTCCAGTTGTTTTCCTTTAGATTTAGAAATTGTGTCAAATTCGTGGGCATAATTTATTATTCAGTTTACTCTCCTGCTCCCAGTCCCATGATGACCGTCAAGCCTTTATGCTAGGTAATTCCACTAAGGTTTGGTTCGTACCTGACATTGAAGTGAAGGGAGACCTTGCAGGTCTTCCCTGGTTCCTGCGTAGGTGTATTGATGAGGATCCAGGAGTGTATCCCGTGTTTAAATTGGATGATCTGTTGCTATTTATTATGAGGCTTTCTACTCTGTGGAGTAAATACTAAACCATCACTCTGGCTGCTGAGTTACTCATGGCGGCATCTGAGCCGGTTTTCCAAACATCACAACACATGTCCTCCACACTCCACTTGAATAACTGGTGCCGTGGGAGAAGCCACAAATTACGTGTTAGAGGACAGCAATTTCATGCCTGACAACCACATACCATTCGGTACCAGAGGCTGGCAGGCTAACTCTGGCCCGGCCCCTTGTACAGCCTGTGAATGAAGGGTGTTGTTAGCTCATTGGTGCATTCATTAGATGTATTTAGTTCATTGACATTTTTCAATGGTTAAAAGATTGAGAATATTATTTTGTGATGTGAAAATGCTAGGAAATCAATGTTCACTGCTCATCACGTTTTATCGAAACACAGGCTCACGCCTTGGTCTGTGTAGTGTCTTTGGCTGCTTTTGTATTTTGGTGATAGACTTGTGCAGTTGAGTTGTAGACCACATGGGACTCCCAAAGCCTAAAATAGTCACTTCAAGCCCTTTCCAGGAAAAAAAAAAAAAAAAAAAAAAAAAAAAACAACCAATAAAATGACATGATCTTGACTGCGTCCCTCCTAATTTGTTGTCCTAACTCTTCTCACTTTGGTAAATCCACTCTCCCAGTTGCTCTGGCTGGAACATTCAAGTCCTCTTTGACTTCTCACTTCCACATCCCACATCCCACACTCAGTCCAGTAGCAGATGCCAGCTTTTCCTTCATAAAACTCTGCGCTCTTTTCTCAATTCCATTCTGCCTTTTTATTACCTCTTATCCACTAGTAGCCATTTAACTGGTTTCAGTTTCTAGACTTGCCTTTTTCATTGTGCTCTTGACATAGCAGCCAGGGAGTTCTTTGAAAACTGCAGTCAGATCATGTCGCTTGTCTCCTTAGCCCTGGTTAATGACCTCCAGTTTCGTTTCTTCTCACTTGCAGTCAGTCCTCACACTGCCCTTCAAGACAGTGTCCCTTGAATTAACCTCCTCTTCTCTCCCTTGTCACTCTGCTCCAGACTCCTAGCCTCCTTGCTGTTCCCTGGAGACATCTACTCATATACATGAGGGTAGTTCCATTTGGGAAAATGGAAGTAAAAGTTAAGTTTATTTTTTAACAAAATATTTTTTAAAACCCATGTATAATTTTTTTATAACACACATTTTTGGTGAGCCTTTTGAAGGCCCTTGTATGTATAGATTTCAGGATTGTTTTGCACAAACATAAACTTAGCATTTATCCTATTTGCTGTGAATTTTGGAAATATATATTGAAACATATATACTGAAATTTATAATTTATATATATTTATAAGTAAATTTCAGAGTGAATTGTAAAGTGCAAAAGAAATACCCTATGGCAGAGAGTGCTTGGTACGTATCTGTATACACACACACACACACATACAATATACACAGAATTTAACCTTTTGCTCTGTTTGTCTTGCCTGGACACCATTCTGTTTAGAATTGCAACTTTCTACTCCCTACCACACATTTTATATCCCTCTTCCACATTTTATGCATATTTTTCTTCTTGGCACTAACTACTATCTGACATACCATATATTTACCAAAATGTCTTGTTTACCATCTTCTTTGTTCACTGTATATCCCCAACATCTATAATAGTACCTGACGCATGGTAGCACTCAATAAATAATTTTTGACTGACTGAATGAATGAAAGAGAAATGAGGCTGGAGACTTGGTAAGTTCAAGGTTATAGAGAGCCTTATCTGCTATATTATGGAGCTTAGAGCATTATTTTTAAGATGATAGAATACCAATGAAGTTTTCAGGCACAAGAGTGGAATGGCCAAAAAGAATCTTGGTTTTTGAAAGATAATGCATAATATAAGAAATGAGCAGATCTGTTCAGAGGATGTGAGGATAATCCAATGACAGAATGAGTACCTGAATTAGAGCATTGGTAGTGCAGGGACCAAGAGAGAAGGGCAAGTTCATAAAAAAAAATTTAGGGGATAAATCAGAACTGAATGAAGGTAGAAAGGTGAAGGGAGGGAAAAGGAGAAATGACTTCCATGTTTATGACTGGATGAATCACCAACTGACTCATCATTCACCAACTGAGATATCTCTCTCTCTCTCTCTCTCTCTCTCTCTCTCTCTATATATATATATATATATATATGTTACTTATAGACATATAGCTACTATATATAATATTTCAAGAAGTTTGTGGAAAATGGAATTAAAAGATAAGCTCATTTTGGTGCTCAAAATTTTGAAACCTATGCATAGTTTTTCCTAATATGTATCTTCTATGGACCTTTTGGAGACCCTTTGTTCACTTCTGGAGTGGTGAATTTGAAGTGCTCAGAGAAGAGCCAGGTGGATAGGACAAAGAGCAAGTTGTATATATGAAACTACAGTACAGAGGAAAGACAGGGCTGGAGAGAGCAAGAAGACAGTGATGCAAACCATCAGAATTTATGAACTTACCCAAATGGATTGTGTGAGAAACAGTACCAGACCAAGGCTGGTCTTTGGGAAACACAGTCATCGAAGGGGAAATAAACATAAGGGAGATAATTCAGGAGATTACAAAGACACAGACAGAGAAGTAATGGGATAAGGAATGGTCAAAGAAGAGAGCAGTATTAAGGTTTCCAGGAAAGTAGAGCATTTCTAGAAGGCATTGGTGTTGACAATGTTGATTACAGTAACAGGAAGAAGGGGGAAAAGAATTTAATGCTGTCTGTTGGATTTGGCAATGTGTAGGTGGCTGGTGCCTACACTGAAATTGGTGTCAGTGGAGTGGTGGAAGTGGAACCTACCATGGCACCAATAGGAAGAGCAACTGGGAAGTGGGGAGGGGAGCTAAGGAAAAGCTAATCTTTCAGGAGCTTGACTGGGAGCAGAAGGGACATCAGGCAGGCTACCCTACGTCGGTGATACTTCTTTGAAGCTCTCTTCTCACAACCATCGTGACTTTCCATGTCCTGCCATGGCTTTGTGCTTGCCCTGATTATACCCTTGGAGCACACAGCAAATACTTCTTGTTTATCTGCTTCTCTCTTTAGACACTTCCTTCTTGAGAGCAGGGATCTTCTTCATCAACACACTTCTCAAATAGCATAACATAGGGCACCAGAAGGCGCTCAGTCAATATTTGTAGACTGGTTGAATGGAATGGGGTTGGTTTTGTTTTATTTCTCAGCTTTTGTTATAAGCATGAGATAGACATTATTACCTTAGAAGGGATAGGGGAATGATTCAGGCTGAAGAGAGAAATTCAGGATATGCGGGTTGGAGGGAGAGAGAGACACAGAAAGAATACATGAGTTAGAAAGAAGAGTTTCCACGGACTGTGCTATAGCGTAGTGGGTTAAGTGGCTGCCTGCAGTGCCAGCATCCCATATGGGCTCCCCAGTCCCGGCTGCTCCACGTATGATCTAGCTCCCTGATAATGCACCTGAGAAAGCAACAGAGGACAGCCCAAGACTCCTGCACCTACGTGGGAGAACCTGGAATAAGCTCCATGCTCCTGGCTTCTGCCTGAATCAGCCCTAGCTGTTCTAGTCATTTGGGGAGTGAACCAGCAGATGGGCTTCTTTCTCTGTCTCTGTCTCTGTTACTCTGCCTTTCAAATAAATAAAATAAATATTTTTAAGATTTAATTATTTTTATTTGAAAGGCAGAGTGACAGGAAGAGAGAGAGAGAAGTCTTCCATTCGCTGGTTCATTCCCCAAATAGCTGCAATGGCCAGAGCTGTGCCAATCTGAAGCCAGGAGCCAGGAGCTTCTTTTAGGCCTCCCACACAGGTCCAAAGGCCCAAGGACTTGGACCATCTTCCTCTGCTCTCCCAGGCCATAGCATAGAGCTGGATTGGAAGTGGAGCAGCTGTGACTCGAACCAGTGCCCATAATGGGATGCTGGCACTGCAGGACCCAGCTTTACCCACTACACCACAGAACCAGCCCCTAAAAGAGATGAAAGAAAGAAAGAAAGAAAGAAAGAAAGAAAGAAAGAAAGAAAGAAAGAAAGAAAGAAAGAAAGAAAGAGAGAGAGAGAGAGAGAGAGAGAGAGAGAGAGAGAGAGAGAGGAAGGGAGGGAGGGAGGAAGGGAGGGAGGAAGGGAGGGAGGAAGGGAGGAAGGAAGGGAGGAAGGAAGGGAGGAAGGAAGGGAGGAAGGAAGGGAGGAAGGAAGGGAGGAAGGAAGGGAGGAAGGAAGGGAGGAAAGAAGGGAGGAAAGAAGAAGTATGGAGAACAGAGAGTGTGGGATCCAGAGCATAGGGTGGGGATGGAACTTGGGATGGGGTGACAGCCTTGCTCTCTAGGAATGGAAAGAACGAGTCCTAGGTAGATACAGATATACTCAGATTTATGAAGAGGGAAAGGATATTGAAGCAGTTCATACCTAATGAGTTTACTTCGTGAAGACTTTGAGGCTCAGTTGGGAGGTATAAGAGAGTAGTGAGTGCCTGGAACTGACACTGAAGGGATAAGGGGGCTGACTGAGGTCTAGGTTATGCATTTGTGTGTGGTGTTAAGGGGCCATGTGAGCAGGAGACCATGAACCTCTGGGAGAACCAATCTGTGGGGTGGAATGATTGTCTCATCAATGCTTACCAGTCAAGTGGGTGTAAAAGAAGATATGGCAAATTGTGGGATATATCCAGGGCTGAGATTTTGTCATATAAATGAAGACTAAGTGTAGAGGTGCAAGGAATGGTAGACATTCAGACCAAAGAATAGGAAAATGAGGCCAGCAGGGGGCTGATTAATTGCATGGAAAAAATGCTGGAGAGTAACTCTGGAGCAAATGAGAAGGTGAGTGAGAAAGGGGGAAGGGACACACACACACACACACACACACACAGATGAGGGGGCGAGAAATACCCGGAGAACTCTAGGAGGCTCACTGTCAGAGAGTTGAAGGCTTTGGGTGTACAGAAGTTGGAATGTGGGCAGGTCTGAGGCTGGCCATGGGTGTGGGGAGTGCCAGTGAAGTACAAGTAAGGATATCTTGAATTGAGTTTGCCAAGAATGTGCAAGGATAGAATGTTGGGCTGGTTGCTTTCATGGAATTGAAGTTGTTCAGAATTATGTCTAGACATAGGGTAGAAAAGAAACTGAGATCCAGGTGCCAGGTCCTTTTGTTATTTTAAAGATATTTATTTATTTATTTATTTGAGAGGCAGAGTGACAGGGAGGGAGGAGAGAGAGAGAGAGAGAGAGAGAAATATCTTCTATCTACTCTTTTACTCACCAAATGGCTACAACAGCCAAGATTGGACCAGGCAAAATCCAGGAGCCAAGAACTCCATCCCGGTTCCCACATGAGTGGCAGAGACCCAAGAAGTTGGGCCATCATCTTCTACCTTCCCAGGCACATTATCAGGAAGCTAGCTCGAGTGGAGTAGCCAGACTTAAGGCAGCACTATGATATAAGGATACCAGTGTTGCGAGTGGCAGCTTAACCTGCTGCACCACAACACCCACTCCAGGTGCCAAGTCTTTAGTGAGTAAACTGGGGAATGAGGGTAACAGTGAAGAATGGCATTATCAGGGAGTGTGAACTCCAATGAAGGAGGTTCCTTGTCTGTAAAATGAGAAGCTTAGACGAGATGATCCAACTGTAAGACAGCTTTCAACTCCAAGGTCAGGTGAGTGTTCCACAGAGCATTTGACTTCTTTGCTACAAGTAATGAAATAGAATCATGGAATGGTAGAGCTAAAAGAAACCTTTACAAATCATTTAATCTGACTTCCTCATTTTTTAGACGAAAGAACTAGCTTTTAGCAGTGCTGTTACTTGCTCAAAGACAGAGCTAGTAAGTGGTACCATCATGTCATACCTGAGTGCTGTCTTCTGGCCCACTGCAACTTCCTCTCCATCGTGGCGCTTTGAAGTTTTCCATTGTGTTTCTCAGCAGCATGTGTTGTCATTCACATCTGCAGTGGTACACTTACGCTAGTTCACGGTACAAATTACTGAATCACTATTGTACTCTAAACTACTTGTATTGCTATTAACAGCTTGGGCTCCTGTCATTCTTCTCTTTTTAGATCTTTCTAAAATCATGTTATAATTCATGTTTTCATCATGGACTGATTGCAAATAACCTAGCATAAATGGCAATTCTGAAAATTATTTTTGATTATGCATCAATCATGTATTTTTCCTAGAACCACATATGATAGATTGTATATTCATATGCTACATAAAGAATAGCTACCTAGCTGGATAGATGGATGTTGACCAGGGAAGGGAGTGGAGACATTTAGAATCTTCTTTTTCCCCAGAGACATTTTCTTGGATATTTAACACACACTCCAAATTCTCTTTCAGCTCACCTCTGTCATGTGCCACCAGAAGTTCAATGGACAGACCTAAAATAGGGACCATCTTCTCTGCTCTTCCCACTGCCATTCAAAAACTAAAAAATTTATATTTATGAAATGAGTTTTGAGAGCCAAATATGAAAGTTACTTTTATATAAAATAAAACTCATTTGAGGGCATAAAAATACACCGTTGAAGTTTTCCATTCTGTCCCCCAGTCTTCCTTGCTCCCTGCTTCCATGTTAGAATATATAAAACACTTGGATCTTCCTATTTCCTATCTGTGTGGCATTCTTAATTCTGCACTGTCTTAGTGGAAATTCAATAACTATGCTCTTGGGATTCAGAGGGCTCTTTTATGAAAAGTCATTAATGTTGCACAGCACATGCAATTTTGTAAAACCCCATATTGTGTAAATTTTGTCCTTTAGCAAGTAAATAACAAACATTTGTATTTATCTATTTAAAGGATTAGCAGTAGCAAAATCTTATTATTGTTTCCCATCCACCCTTTTGGGTGGAATTATATGAACTTGGATTTCTTTTGTAATCAACCAAAAATGACAACACAAATTAAATAAAAGATTAACACACAGGCATACACACTTTTTTATTCTACTGCCTGAATCCCTTGTAAACTTTTATCCTGTGGACAGAACCATGATGTTCTGGTTAATTTTTATCAAAATCACTCATTGCCCATTCTACCAACTTCTAGACTTGAGGAAACCCTAAGATACATGGGAGAGAAACAACACAGATAATAGGACCAACAGAGAATCCCTGGCCCCTAAAGACAATCATATGTTCTTTGTGTTATGTTCTTTAACCACTTTTAAACAGACATGTCTGTTATGGTGACAAATGGAGGATTAATTAAACAGGTGACAATTTCCAATAATCTTGAGGTATCAGGTGATAGCTCCTTCTCTTAATAGTAGCAAGGAACACCATTGAAATTTTAGAAGCCTTAACAACACACTGTAGATCTTTATTGGAGCCCAGAAATTCTACCCAGCTCAGCACAAAATGTATGTGTGCAGTTTCCCAACTGTCTGCTTCCTTGATTGACTGTCCTTCAGCCTCCTGCCCCCATGTGCCTCGCTCCCATGCTGCCCAGGCAAAAGCGAACCCCTAGAACCTCAGCTCCACCACTGGCTGTGGTCCCTTGGAGACAGCAGGGAGACCTGTCAGCCCTGGGCTATCTGTAGCTCCCCAGTTGTCTGCCTCCATCCAGCCTAGGGAAATGCAGCTCTCCATTCACCCTGACTGTTCTTTTCTTGGGCATAAGGGAGAGCGGCATTTGTAGTGGGAAAAAAATTCTCCACTGCGTTACATGTGAAAAGGCGTAGACATTTTCTCTGCAGAAATGGCTTTCATGAGGGGTTCACTTTATCTAGGAGAGAAGTTCATCTTGCCAGAGCGAATCTTTTTGGGTGTATTCATTTTATCCTGTCTATTGTCACCTGCGGAAACGCCTGTGATCTAGCCAGTGCCAGGTGATGTGGGGACCCGTTGTGACTGTGTTGGTTGCTGCTGTCTCACACTGAACTGCTTTAAAACGCTCAGGGAGAAGTGCTTCGGATTCCCGCCAACCAGTGCTGCCCGGAGTGTGAGCTGAGATCTCCTGGATCTTGCCATCATGAAGACAAAGTCCATGAGGTAAGTGCTTTCCCGCCCAGCAGAGCTTCTGTGTTTGGTGGTCATTGACGAAGGAGAGCCGGATGTTACGTTCACCCTGACAAGAGAAGGTTGTTTCCTAGCCCGAGCTGTGGAGGACCTGAGGTTCATTTGCCCTTTTGCGGGAATGGAGATTTCCTGAATGAGATTAGAACTATCCTATTCTTTCCCTGGGTCCTCAGTAAGTATTTGGAGGTTGAATTGGTGTCTTTGTACAGAGGAGTCCAAATGCTGATGTTGAAGAAGTTGTGATGTTCAGCAGTAAATGAATCACCTTCCTTTTGTATCCTACGTGCATTTTTTTGTTCATTTAACAACCCTGCGCTGGTGAATAGAGCAGATGTTATTCCTCCCATGTTAATGATTAAAAAAAAATTGTCTAAGGTCATATTACTAATAAGTGGTATGACCTGCTCTAGAGCCCTGATGTGCTGAATCCTAATTCCAGGCTCATTCCATTAAGACAGAAATTCTCAACTTCACTTGTGTAGACATTTAAGGCATTGCTGCTGAAGTATCTGAGCATGTTGAGTGCCATCCCTGGCCTCTACCTACCAAGTGTGCCAGTCACCACAACCAAGTGTCTGCAGGCATGGCCAGATGTTCCCTAGGCAACAGAGTGCTCCCCTTTGTCCCCACAGGTGGAACCACAGCACTAGATATTTGCCCTAAAGTGCTGCTTATACTATTTTTTCATTCTAGCTGTCTTAGGATTCATTTAGAGATGTTCAATACTGGTTAAAAAGTAGCATTGCAAGGTTCATAACAGAAATTATGAAAATCGACAGTGCATCTCCACCCATATGTAAATGTCACCCTGAGGCAGGTGAGCTTGAATGGGATGGAAAGAGGCTTTTTTTTTTTTTTGCTTTAATCTTCATCTTCCACCCATACAAAACATTCCCCAAGTTCATGTATCTGGCCATTCAGGCAAGAGCGCAGGTTAGCAGGATTTGATATTTCCTCTCTAGGCAGCTATTCAGTGTCTGTGCCTGAAGCTCTGTGAGCACAGTGATCATTTCCCTACGGGACAGGATCCCCTTACTCAAGCCTCTACCTCCTAATTACATGGGGAAGCTGCTCTTTCACTCCTGCACAATGCATTGCTGAAAGACTCCCAGGCAGGTCTGTGAGGGAACCATCTTCATGACACGTCTCCCCGTGTGCTGCTGCTTGGCCAGTGTCACCTTTCACCAGCACAGGAGAAGGGGCTGTGAAATGGCAGGTGCTACAGGGCAGACTGGTGGAAATAATGCCAGTTCAGAAGGTGTGGAAGATGTGTGCGGTACAAGGTGAACAACACCAATAATGCCAGTTCAGAAGGTGTGGAAGATGTGTGCGGTACAAGGTGAACAACACCAAATTGAATTTGTCTTGTAAGATTTTATTTATTTATTTTCCTTTTATGAGAGAAAGAATGAGCCAGCAAACAAGCTTCCATCTACTGGTTCACTGCCCTGCAAGAGCTAGGACTAAGCTACACTAAAGTCAGGAGTCCAGAACTGTATCTGAGTCTCCCACATGGATGGCGGGGACTCGGTCCTTGGGCCATCACCTGCTGCTTTCAAGGCATGCACATTAGCTGGAAGCTGAAATCAGGGATAGGAGCTGGGACTCACACCCAGGCAAGTTAACTACTACACCAGATGCACACCCCAAGCTGAATCTTCCACGTGAAGGAGATGTTGAGAGCCAATGGAGGTCAGGATCTGGAAAAAATCAAAGCCAATATCTCAAATACAGGGTAGATCCAGGGACCTGAGTGGTTAGGAGTCAGGAGTCTTTGCATGGGCCATTCTTTCTAATGACACATGGCATTTGCTCTCTCATGTTGCATTTGGGCACAGTCTTCTTATCTTGATGTAAGATGCCTGAGAACATTGACAATATTTTCTATGTCTTTATAACGATCTTTCCTGCCTCCCACCTAACCTGGTATTCAGCATTGAACTTTTCCTGGAGTAGATACTCAATAAGCATTGATGAATGAGACTCAAGTGATTAGTAAATCCTTCTCCAGCTACTCCGTGTCTTTATCACAGGGGCACACTGGCCATTGTCCTGTGTGGCTGGGCAGTTCTCAGACCATAGATCTCCTGGGGCTTAGTTAGAAAGCCTGTTGGTCGGCCGGCACCGCGGCTCACTAGGCTAATCCTCCACCTTGCGGCGCCAGCACACAGGGTTCTAGTCCCAGTTGGGGCACCGGATTCTGTCCCGGTTGCCCCTCTTCCAGGCCAGCTCTCTGCTGTGGCCAGGGAGTGCAGTGGAGGGTGGCCCAAGTGCTTGGGCCCTGCACCCCGTGGGAGACCAGGATAAGTACCTGGCTCCTGCCATCGGATCAGCGCAGTGCGCCGGCTGGCCGCGGCAGCCATTGGAGGGTGAACCAATGGCAAAGGAAGACCTTTCTCTCTCTCTCACTGTCCACTCTGCCTGTCAAAAAAAAAAAAAAAAGAAAAAAAAAAGAAACCTTGTTGGTCTCCTACTTTGGCTGCGAGTGCTCCGAAAACCCTGCTTGGTCTTCTTTGTCCCTGCCTTCCTTGGGGTTCATCTTTTCTGCAATAACACATCCTGCAGAGAGTTCTAACATGCGTAGGAACATGCCCGTGTGTTGTTTTTGCATATGCAACTTTCAAAATGCATTCCCTCAGAAAATGTTATAATTACATTTCTGGTACTTGATGTAACTGAGAAAAAGGCTGAATTTCCGGAACTATAGCTTTGGAGAAAAACATGTCTAGTAGCCTGCCCCCTTCAAATCAAGCTAGAAGATTGATTTTTTTTTTTAAATTGAGACAAAATCTAACATTAATCTTAAGTCAAAATCATTGTATTTCTTATCTTCCTGCCCTTCCTTCCCCCTCTTTCTTTCTTCATTTCTCCTAGGTTCTGACCAAATCCTTTTTAGTATTCATTTTCTTGAGCGGTTTAAATGCTTGTCTGCTTTGCTCTGGGTCTTGCCTGGTCACTTACATGTCTAGTTGTTTTTTCTTAGATCCTGCAGCCCTTTGTCTTTGCGGTCAGTTTCTGGAGGATTCTGCTTCCCCAAGGAATGCACGCAATGATCCTCTCCTTAGCCTCTGGTTTGCAACCCACACGCACATGAGCTACAGACTAACTCTGGAGCGATGAGCTGAGGCAGGTGCTTCCCCCTAAGGGAGGGACTTGGGAGAGGCTTTGTGGGATTCCCCAGGTGTGGCTGCAGGAGAATCAGGTGAGGTGCTGCTGTCCCTGGAGAACACTGTTGAAAATGAAGGTCAAGGTGGGCTGAGCTCCGGGCTGCCTGGGAACCTGCTCTTTGGACTAACACGGCTGGGCCTCACTAAGGGCCTCCTTGTCTCCCAGAGGAGGAACAGCTTCCCCAGCTGGCATCCCAGCAAGTCGAGACAAGCCCCCGGAGCTTTCCTTTCCTGGAGTGAGGAAGACACTTGAGCTTCTGGCTGACTCTGAGTTATTTGAGAATGTTGCCTGGGCTTATTCCAGCAAGATTCTGGTGGGGCGGGGAGAGGGGGCTGTTTCACCTGTGGCCCTCCCACAGCTCTCCCTCCAAATTCATTTAGGGAGCCGTGCCCAGCCAGGGAAATAAGCATCAACTGTGCTTTTCTAAGGGGTATTTGAGTGCCTTCTTCCTGTTCTTTTCCCCCATGAATTCTTTTGTGAAGGGGAGGGGAGAGGACCATCAATCCTTTCTCTTCCTCATTCCTAATTTAATCTCAGCTCCATGTAATGTCAAATTAGGAAGAACATGCTTGAAGATTTGCTGAGAAGGCAAATGGCAGGTGGTAAAGCCTAGTGCCAAATGCCAGTGAGTAGAGGCACAGGAGGGAGAGGTGGGCTCATTCTTTCTGTAAGGCTAAAGGGGACAGTGATTTCTGTGTGCGAAGGAAGAAGAGCATATTGAATTCTGTAGCCTTGTTCTCTTCAAAGTAGAGGACATAATTATCATATGCACTGAACATTCCCCGATATTTAGTATTCTGGATTTATAACTTCATAACAGGAACAAATTATATGAAGAAAACTTATTTTTTGTTCTGTCAGTAAGCCAGGCTAATGCTTTATGACCTTATCTTTTCTTTGGACTTATGTCAACAGCCGAGCTAACTTGTTAGTTGACTGTGCAGAAGAATATATTTCAGATGTTGTCTACAGAATTCACTTTCGCCCAGTGTCAAAGTCTGCTTCCTCAAGGGTATTAATGAGGTTACGATGGCACAGCTTAAACTGGTTCTTGCAGTAGTTTTGCTGTGTGTCTATTACTCCTTGATTTCACAAAGCTCTCTTTGCTGCTGCAGTTTTTTTTTTTTTTTAAGATTTATTTATTTATTTGAAAGGCAGAGTTACAGAGAGGTAGAGTCAGAGACAGAGACAGAGGAAGAGAGAGAGGTCTTCCATTTGCTAGTTCACTCCCCAAATGCCCACAATGGCTGGAGCTGAGCTGATCCGAAGCCAGGAGCCAGGAACCTCCTCCAGGTCTCCCACGTGAGTGCAGGGGCTCAAGGACTTGGGCCATCCTCTACTGGTTTTCCAGTCCACAGCAGAGAGGTGGATTGGAAGTGGAGTAGCCTGGTCTTGAACTGGCACCCATATGGGATGCTGGCACTGCAGGCAGCAGCCTCACCCACTATGCCACAGTGCTGGCCCCTGCAGTGTTTCTTAAAAATAATGCTTTTATAAGTGGATATAGACAACTCTGGGAGAGAAGAAATATATACATTTGTGTGTGTGTGTGTGTGTGTGTGTTTTGAGCCTCTTGAACTCTAGGTTGGGTGTTTTATGGGCATTATTTTTTTTTTCAGCTTTTATTTATTTATTTTATTTCTTAGAAAGCCAAAGAGAGAGAGAGAGAGGGAGAGAATGAGTCAGATCTCCCATTCTCTGGTTCACTCTCCAAATGTCCATGATAGCCCGGGCTGGGCCATGCTGAAGCCAGGAGCTGGGAACCCAATCTAGGTCTGCCATGTGGATGTCAGGGTCCCAGATATTGAGCCATCACCTGCTGCCTCCCAGGTGCACACTGGCAGGAAGCTGGAATCGAAACTGCAGGTGGACCTGAAACCCACACACTCTGATATGCGATGTGGGCATCCCAAGCAAAGGCTTGACCACCGGGCCAGCTGCCTGAATTCTTCATGTTCAGAACACTCTGAGGAAGGGTGTGGGATGCAAACTGGTGGGGACTGATACGGTTTGTCCCCATGAGGGAGATGGTAATGATTCCTTTCCCTCATGTTATACACTGGGCATCACCACCTGGAGCTTCTTGTGTGGCTTTGACATCAACCAGTGAAGTCTCCCTGCCGAATGTTCTTGTTATTCCCATAATTCTCAAGCTCACTGTGAAGGGAGAATCCATTGCCTTTTTTTTTATGTCTCTTGAGCTATAGATTCACGTGATCAGAAAGCTCAAAGGTACTGAAGAGATTAGCTAATATAACCATTTCATGTCACAGATGAAAACCTTGGGTGATGGACAGGTTGTCTTATAATTAATTTTTGAGGTCTCTGAAAGGTGGTGGTACTACAAATATTTGAGAACTGACAGTGTCTCTTAGTTGTAATAAAAGCAAGCTCTTATTGTTATGAAGTGAAACGTCTGAGTGTATAGAAGCCAACTCCTAATTCTTAATAAAGTAGTTCCCTTATAGTTATTTTATGTGCAGTCTTCAAATCTGAATGTATTTAAGAAATATATGTAATTAGATAATTCAACAGTAATTTGCTTTCTGATGATGAAAAAAAACATAATTTGTTTAGTAAAAATGTAGACAGGTCCACAGCATAAAAGCATAAAATCTACCAGTAATCCCAGTACTCTGAAAACCATGGTGAATGTACTTCAGTTTTTGGTGGTGGGGTGGCAGTGGAGATAGATAGACAGACAGACAGACAGACAGATGTAGACTTTAACATAGTTGAAATTATTCTATGTGTACGGTTTATGTCTTGCCTTTTTACACAATGTTATATTATCAGTAATTCCCTCATATACTTTGGGAGAATATTATTCCCAATTACTAGGCAATTGGGTCACCTCCAGTTTTCACTAAAATGTCATTTATAGACGAGGAAGCTGAGATGGAGAAGGATTAAGTGAAGGCAGGCAGAGCTGAGCTGAGACCGGAGAACATGCATGGTGCCAAGTCCCTCCTTGATTCCTCTCCATCAGTGCGGACAGGCATCGCTATCTCTTGTGCTCCCCGTGAGTCTCCCTGTAGGAAAGTTACCATGACCGTAAGGTGAGGACTTGGTTCCCAAATAATTGGATGATTGTAATTACCTGTTAGAATAGTAGCACAGGTTGCTAGTAATTCCATCATGTCAGAGCTGGCATGCCTGTGACCTGAATCCAGGGGCAGAACCCAGGGGCACTGACTTCTGTAAGTAGCACAGGGCGCCTTTGTGCCCCAGAGACACTGAACAGTGATTCTTGAGGGGAAGCAAGAGAATGTTTGTTTTCTATACTTCTCAGTGACACGGCTGTAATCCCTCGAGTATGTTTAGTCTAATGAGTCCCTAGGATGCCTGATGTTTTTAATAAAAGTCTGTGTATGATTTGTGCTGGGTCAGATATCATTATATGCTAGATTTATTAGAAGCAAAGGGGAAGAGTTTGAATATTTAGGGAAGCGTTGCAGGAGGAAAATGCAGACAACTTTATTCATTGAGTTGATTTTCCCTGTATCTGTGCAAGGCTGCTGTTGTCCTGTTCTGATACAGAGAATGTAACAGTCTTGACTGTCACTTCCCGAAACAGTCGTTGCGTGGGTAGCTTTTTTCATTCTGAGTTCACCCTCTCACACCTGTGTCACACCTGAGAGTGGCTTGTTGGTACACTTTTCCTACTTGATAAATCCCAGGATAATTCAACACATGGATCTCTTAGATGGCAACATACTGCCAGCTTTGAGAATGTGGTATCCCAGTGTAAAGTGGAATAGGAACATTCTGTGCGTGCAGACAGACTCTCCCTGCGCACGACTGCGCTCCGCAGTTTATGGGAGAATTGGATGGAACAGATGCCTCCTGTCGACTCTCTCACTTTCTCCAAGACCATGGGATCACAGCACCAAAAGAAAGAGGTGAGAGAGAGAAGATGAGAACTAATCAGAAGCCACATCAATGAGACAGGGTTACAGCGAGAGCTGTTGAAAATGATATAAGCAGGGGCCAGCACTGTGGCACACTGGGTAAAGCTGCTGTCTGCAGTACCAGCATCCCATATGGGTAACAATTCGAGTTCCAGCTGCTCCACTTCTGATCCAGCTCCCTACTAATGCATCTGAGAAAGCAGCGAAAGATAGCCCAGGTGCTTGGGCCCCTGTATCCACATAGGAGACCGGAAAAAGCTCCTGGCTCCTGGCTTCAGAACAGCCCAGCTCCTACTGTTGAGGCCATCTGGGGAGTGAACCAGTAGATGGAAGACCTCTCTCTGTGTCTCTGCTTCTCTCTGCCTCTCAAATAAATAAATACACCTTTGGGGCCAGTGTCATGGCTCACTTGGTTAATCCTCCGCCTGTGGTGCAGCATCCCATATGGGTGCCGGATTCTGTCCCTGTTGCTCCTCTTCCAGTCCAGCTCTCTGCTGTGGCCCAGGAGGGCAGTGGAGGATGGCCCAAGTCCTTGCGCCCCTGCACCCGCATGGGAGACCAGGAAGAGGCACCTGGCTTCTGGCTTTGGATTGGCGCAGTGCCGGCCATAGAGGCCATTTGGTTAGTGAACCAATAGAAGGAAGACCTTTCTGTCTCTCTCCCTCATTATCTATAACTCTACCTCTCAAATAAATAAATAAAAATAAATAAATACATCTTTGGGGGAAAAAACAGAAATAAGATGATATAACCTTTATAAATAACATAGTAAAAATACATGTGTGCATATTTTGCTTTGGGCTATATAAAATTTTTATTTTATAGGTTTGGCTCATTTTTATTTTATTTTCGTGTTTTTCTGAAAATTTCAAAAATGAAATCCTAGAGATAATAGAAAACTGTTCTAAAATTGGTCTCTGACTTGGAACACTGCAAAGCTTCATCTTAGCCTGCAAGCTGAGCGCTGTCTTCCACCTTTCCTGAGATCCCTGCTTAGTTTGTGTAAGAGATTAACTTCTGTTGGTGGAATGAAAGCCTGCACTCTGGCTCTAACCTTCTCCTTTTTCTCCCTCCACACACAGCATGGAACACAGTGGGCCTCTTCCCCGTGTAGTGTGTGCTCTTGCACCCACGGGGAAGTAAGGTGCACCCCCCAGCCTTGCCCACCGCTGTCCTGTAGACACCGCAAGCTGGAACTCACCCCTGACGGCAGCTGCTGCCCAGTGTGTGTGGGCCCTGGAAGTGAGTATGAACTCGTCGCAAGGGCCCTCTTTGCCTTTGAGGCCCACGTGGTGATACCCCAACTCCTTCCTGTTCAGTAGCTCAAAGAGCTCACTCCTTTCTTTATTGTAACCAAGATGCAGCCTCGTGCTTGGCCGGGAGTGATGTTTCAGAGAATGGGATTGGAACTCATCTTTAAACCCCTTCTAAACTGAGGAATCTGAGTCTCTGATTTACTTATTTTGCCTTGGCTGGATGCATCCCTTGGTATTCACAGCTCCCAAGAGGGAAGGGGAGTAGGAAAGAGACCCTTTGATAGGATTCCCCGGGGCCAGTGTGGCTCCTCCTGCTCACTTTGTAGAGAGGACAAACCTGTTCCCTGTGGGTATGGTGGCGCTGGCACGGATTCTGCTGGGCGGGCTGTGAGTGAATGACGTCCCTCTCCAGGATGCAGAGCAGGAAGGGTGTCTGTCTTGAGTGCATCCCTGCTGAAGTGGACACCTCCAGCTGGTGGCACAGAACTTCGGGAAGCCAAGGGTAGACTTCCAGGCCGTCTCCTTAGAATTCCCTTTAGTCCCTGTAAACTTCTATTGCATTTGAGGGATTTATGTCCCCTTCTGTGTGGCAGCTAAATAGTATTTACTTTATGATGCATAGGAAGTGTTGTCATTGCCACATGCTCTCTTCTGACATGTAGTAGCCGGAATATCTTTTTATTCCTTGAAAGCTACACTCTATTCTCCCCTTAAAAGAGATCCCCTGGTTTCTTTCCATTCCCCGCTTATTCCAAGCCTGGCAGGCCTCTACCCTGGAGAGCCATTTTTCCAGGGATTCAAAAGCATGCTCAGGAAATGATGGAAGTGAAGTGTTTGCCTTGTGTGTTCCAGGTACCCTTTGCCAGGGAAGGACTGCCAGCTGCTCTGGGCCCAATAACCCTGCAAGTGAAGATACTTGGACAGCAGAGTTGGGGGTGGCACAGAGAGTGGGTTGTCTGAGCCTGTAGGATTCTTTAGGAGGTCTTTAAAGGCCTTCCTGTAGCCGTCCAGGAGAGAGACATACTGGAAGCATTTTGCCTCGAGTGATTGGAGCATCATCAGCTCTTATTTGGGGGGAAATGAAAGGCCTCTGTTCAAAAGCAGGGGAGGAGAGACTTTTTGTCCCTGTGATCTCTCCCAACCTTCTGGTGGTTTTTGTTTTTATTTATGTGTGAGGCAGAGAAAGACAGAAAGGTAGAGAGAGCTCCCGTCTGCTGGCTCACCTCTCCCAATGCCCACGATGGCCCTCGACTGGGAGGCAGGAACTCAATCCAACTCTCTTACGTGGGTGATAGCAACCCAATTACTTGAGCCATCACTACTGCCTTCCATCTGCATACCAGGAACCAGGAGTCAGGAACAGAGCTGGGTATTGAACCGAGGTAATACATGAGGGGCACAGGTGTCTTAACCTCTACGCCAAATGTCCACCTAGTTGCCAGGTTTTCTGTGCTATTTACTGTACTCCTCAGGCATGAAGATACTGGAAGGTTGAGTGGAGACCCTCACAGGCACCTGTGCCCCACTCTGGGCCATGTACCCCCACTCAGGTCCTGGGCTATGAATAGAAGGTGGCAGCAATCCCTGGGCAAGAGGAGGAGAGCAGGTGGCAGAGAAATTATCCTGGGAAGCCTAGTAGGATGTGGGACCATACAGGAGTTGAGGCTCCAAGCACCGTCATACTTCACTTATGAAACAGAAATTCAGAGAATTCGGGATAACAACTGCAGAGATAACAACTATCCCAATCATAGAGCCTCTTTTTGTGTCCCAGGTACCTAATGTGGAGTCCTAGGCAAATGCACGCATACCCCTGCAGGCAGCCCGGGGACCAGCCAATGCAATCCATCCTGTAACCGTTATTTCTCTGACCTTCCAGAACCCTGTTCCTATGAAGGCCGTGTATTTCAAGATGGGGAGGACTGGCATTTGAGCCGGTGTGCCAAGTGTGTGTGTAGAAATGGGATCGCCCAGTGTTTCACAGCTCAGTGTCAGCCTCTGTTTTGTAACCAGGTAAGGAAGACAACTTCAGGATGTTCACTTCACTGGTCAACCTCTTATAGTCTCTTCTGAGAGTGTCGGGCCTTGGAAGTACTAGAAAGAAGACACAAAGGCTGTTTTCTTTTCCTTCTACTTTTGGAGACCACCTCTGAGACATTTCTTTTCCCCTTAGAAGCTACAGATAGGTCTAATTAACAGCCATTTAGGCTAATTGTTACTTAATGAAGCTGAGCCTTGAGGGTGCACACAGCAAAGCCTCCGGCTCCAATTGCAGCTGTTCTGAAAATGTCAAGCTAAGCATCTGGGAAATTTGGTAATACGATCTGGGTTGTTATTGTTTTTCCATGCATAGGTGTAGTCAGAGTTTTAAAAACATATACATGCCTTTGAACATGATTATCCAGATGTACACAGTTTAATTTTTATAGGATAATGAGTCAAATAATCAAAGGATTTTCTAAGGGGATGTTTGAGATAGTGGAATCTCGTTCATTTGTGCTGATCTGATTTTCAAAACATTAGGCTCTTCACACAAATTTAGAAGAGAAAATCAATTGCATATAAATGGTGGTTGTGGTATTTTATAGGTTTTTGCTCTTCAAGAGGCTCCTAAAGATATTCCATAGTGGTTGACAGATAACCATGAAAAGAGCTTTGCCTCCAGTCAAAGTATAGCTCATTTTTTGATCTAAGGGAGAGCTGGAAGCCAACACTTAGTTGCCACAGAGCAGTACTTTGTGTCAACTAAACCCAAATCAATAACATGGCATATTGTGACAGTTGGGCAATATTTTAACCAGCAGACAAAAGGCAATTAGATGAGAAATGCTAAATGCCAAATAAAGGCAGAATCTATTTAATTGAAAGGCTTGATTGTGTTACCCACTCTGCACCAACTACTGTGTCTCATCTCCCAACTCATCAACACATCTTGTCCTGGTTTTAAGATTACTAATGAGCTTCTTGGGAGAACTGCACGATATGTAGCTCTATTGCTCTGATATTTGGAGAACATTATGATTTGGGGGCAATTTAATTATAACATTCTGGGGTTTGGAATGGTAATTAAGTAGTTTGCCACCATTATAAGAAGGGAGGTGGGGATGAGAGATGGAGGAAGTACCCCATGGAGAAATTTCTGCTTTAAATCTTCACACATTTAACCACATGCTGCATATTATGGGACCAGATACTCAAATAATTGAAATTCCTGTGTCTGATTTTCAGAAACATTAGACATAAACTCTAGTTTCACTACACAGTATCCACTGTAGAGTTTTCATCAATATACATAATTAATGTAAAAAGATAAAATGTTGGTACCATACTTTAGAGCTAATTGATATGTAAGCATTTTGAAGATTTCAAAATAGATTAATTTTAATCACTCTTGCATTATTTAGTCTGTATTTTGCTGTGACATATTTTTTTTTTTAAAAAAATCCAGTTGTCAGGTATTTAAAATCAGTTTCTTGATTTAATATCATGTTAAATGTTGGGTATTCTAAGACATAAAGGAGTGCTATAGAATTGGGGCTGTTAATATAACACATCACCCCAGCACTATTATCTCTACGCCTATCACCATCACCACCATCACCACCATCACCATTGCCACATTTTGGAAGTTTCAAATGTGCTAGTCATTAATTTTAAGAGCCTTGTAATTCCCCTAACAGTCCTGTGTAGCGGGAGCTATTATTATCATTCCCTTTTTATAGCTGATGAAAATAAGTGACTTGCTCAGGTAGGCATAGTTAGTAAGCCCTGGCACTTTTTTTTTTTTTTGGACAGGCAGAGTTAGACAGTGAGAGAGAGAGACAGAGAGAAGGGTCTTCCTTCTGTTGGTTCACCCCCCAGATGGCCACTACGGCCAGCGCACTGCGCCAATCCAAAGCCAGGAGCCAGGTGCTTCCTCCTGGTCTCCCATGTGGATACAGGGCCCAAGCACTTGGGCCATCCACTGCCTTCCTGGGCCACAGCAGAGAGCTGGACTGGAAGAGGAGCAACCAGGACAGAACCGGCGCCCCAACTGGGACTAGAACCCAGAGTACTGGCGCCGCAGGCGGAAGATTAGCCTAGTGAGCCATGGCGCTGGCCCATCCCTGGCACTTCTAACCTGGGCAGTTCTGTGTGACTGACTCAGGAGACCACACCTGACTCATATTTCCGACCATTATGCTATATTCCTCTCCAAATGAGGAGTTACGCATTTGTGTCTAATCTTTACCATAACAATATCTGCTAACAGTTTCAAGTATTTTGTATACTTTCATTAGTACATTAAATATAAGGAAAACACAGATTTGTCAGTAGACAAGCATTTTCAGTGCCTGAGCTATAGAAAACTTGTCTTTAAGATTTTCTGTGATTTTTTTTATGTAAGTGGTTTGTGTTTAACTTATGAAAGGGGGGATTTTAACTCATTAAAGAGAATTTAGAAAGGGCAGAAAAGCCAAAAATTATTTTTTACCATTCAGAAAGACCGTGATAGTTTTTTGGAGAGAGGGAATAATTCATTGCGGTCTTTTGATAGGAGAATATAGATAATTCTGTTTGCATAGTTATAGTTACATCTTAGAAGTTGGTGATAATCCCTGACAAAGGGAGAAATTCCTATTCAAACAAGAGGTTATTTCCTGAATGACAGGTTCAATTCTTCCTGATGGTGCCTGTTTTCAACTCCTGTCCAGAGGCCTTGTGAACAGAGCCATACCCCCGCCACAGCTTCATGGGCTCACTGGCATGGTCTGCTCAGCCTGAAAAGCGTCGTTCTGGATGGTGTTACTGCCAGACTTTAAATATCACAATTTTCCCATTCCCAATATTGATTCATCAGAATAGTTTGAACTTCATCCTTGGCTATTATTTCAAGGACATCAATTTCTCAAGAAAGTGAGGAACCTGAAATCTCTCTGAGCCTCAGAGTGTGTGTGAGCTGTTTCCTTGGGGCCTGCATGGCTGAAAGACTACGTGGCAGGATCTCACTTTTAGGAGGGACTGTCTTCCCTTTCCGGCCCTGTGCATGCCTTTCCCCTGAATTTGGGGATTTAGAGCCATGGCAAAGTCTGAGGTCTATGTCTTCCCCTACCTGCAGCTGCTTTTACTGTGTTGCATTCTTGTGGCATGTTTCTTTATATGCATAATTTGAAAACCTTGGGAATGTTTCTAGGTGAGGTATCAGTCCACATATTTGGCCTAGATATTGTGGGGCTCTTTAAGACGGTGCTCCAGTTTTTGAGATATTTTCTTCAGTTATTGCTTTGATTAATTATATTTGTTCCAATTATTCTCGCTTCTCCAGAAACATCTGTGGCTTTCAAGTTGTTTGCCTTTCTTTTTTCCTCTTTATCAAGCACTGTTCTGTCTCGGTTTTTCACTTTGTGTCTTTCCTCTTTGTGCCTCCTATCACTGGTTCATCTACTTTTTTTTCTTATCACGATGATTTTTCTTTCTTTATTGCTCCTGCTTCTGTTTGGTAGGGACTACATGTTCTTGCATCTCACGGAGCTTTCAGAATGGCATTTAGACATTTTCGTGTACATATAGTAAGTGACGGTCAGAAGTCTTGCTCTATCTCTGAAACTACAGAATGTTATTCCCTTCTCTTTGATGGGATTCAGCACGTGCTGTCCTGAACTGCAGCATCTTGGCTTCCTGAATATTTTAAGTTGAAGGAATTTGGAAAAAAAAAAAAAAAAAAACAAAACAGTAGCAGGAAGGTCACTTTGACCTTTCCCTGCCCTTCCCCTTCGAAGGTGGTAAGGCCCAGGAAGGACTCTGAGCTTTCCTGAAAAGGCTGTCAGACCCTGATCTGACAGGTGCTCTTCCGATACCTGAGAAATGGAACATCCCCATCTCTAAGGCAGGCACACAGAGAAGAAGCTGGACAAACGGGCCTCACTGAGTTCCTGTTAGATCATACCCTGTGCCCTAAAGTATTTCTCCATGACTATCTACTCTTCATCAGTGTACTATAAAAATCACTGAGGTTCCACCCTTTCTTTGGGTCTTTATTTCATTGTGAGGTCTTCTGTATCGAGTAAAATCATGTGCTAGAAATGTGTGTGTGTTTCTTTTCTAAGGGCTTCAGCCTTGAACCTAGAAGGAAAGATATGTTTCCTTCTCTGTAGCTCATTCTTCAGGGCTGTCCCCCACGTTCCTGTATCTCTATCTACTCATCTTTGACCAAGGGCAATCTGTTCATCCTCACTGCTTGAAATCTGCAAGGCTAGGGGTCCTGCTCTTGGACAAGTTCCCTTCTTGCATCCATCCAGGCACTAGGAAATATTCAAGTGTCCAAGCCCAAGGGCCTGGCAAGTTTTCACTTTGGGAAACTCTATCGCACTGAGCTAGAACTTGCTCTAGGTCTGTGGCCCAGCCTCTCAGGTCCTGAATACATGCAACAGGAGACACCGTGAGCCCCATTTGTGCTGCTTCGAGGGCTTTGACCATCTCTCCCTGTGACCGCTGCCCTTTACGTGAGGGGTGTCCTCCCGCCCTCTCTCCCTCCTCCAACACGCGTTCTTCCCATTCACCCTTTTTGACATTATGGGCTCCGACCAGATGTGCAGAGGAAGATACTGTGGAAGGTGAAAGGCTAGCACTGCTGTTCTAACTGCCCCCCTCCCTGCAGGAGCAAGCACACAGGGAGGGTGAAGGCCAAGTTCTGCTTGGTCTAGAGAGGCAGGAAGTGGGGTGAGGTGATGGTTCTTATTTCTGTTTAGGCTTGCACAGCAAAGGAAGGCCCTGAGTGTCGCATGGTCACTGGGACGACTTCTTGGATGTGGTGAAAGGTTGACTATTAGTTCTGTTTTCTAGTGGTAGAGTTTTAGTTTCTTTCCACATCTTTTTATTATTATTATTATTATTATTATTATTATTTGAAAAGCAGATTTAACAGAGAGAAGGAGAGAGAAAAGGAGAGAGAGAGAGAGAGAGAGAGAGAGGGAGGGAGGGAGGGAGGGAGAGAGAATCTTCCATTTGCTGGTTCACTCCCCAAATAGCTGCAAGAGCCAGGCCAAAGCCAGGAGTCTGGAACACCATCTGGGTCTTTCACATGGGTACAAGGGCCCAAGCACTTGGGCCAACTTCTGCTGCTTTCCCAGACACATTAACAGGGAACAGGATCAGAAGTGGAGTAGCTGGGACTTGAACTGGTTGCCATATGGGATGCTGGCATCACTGGTGGCAGCTTAACCCACTGTGCCACGATACCAGCCCTTCTTTCCATATCTTTAAAAGTGTGTGATGGGAAGATATTTTACCAAGAGCTGTCAGCCATGTTACGTTATAAGTATTTTATTTTATGAATATGGAAAATTATAATTGAATACAACCTTGATAGTCATCCTGTCCCATACTATAGTGTTCATTATATTTTTAAGTATTGAATACCTGTGATTACTGAAGGTAGCAGGTTAGACCCAGGATTTCTTTTTCTATAAAAGGCCACAGAGTAAATATATATTTTTTAATTCTTTTTTTTTATTTATTTAATGAGCATAAATTTCCAAAGTACAGCTTATGGGCCACAATAGTCTCCTCCCCCCCCCCCCCGTGTCTTCCCTCCCATCCACAACGCTTCCCTCTCCCACTCCCTCTCCCCTTCCCCTTCACATCATGATTAATTTTCCACAGAGTAAATATTTTTAAAAAGCTTTGTGTGCCATCCCTGTGGAACAAGTATTCAGTTCAGCCTTTGTAGTGCAAAGCCAGCCAAAGACAATATGTAAAGGGATGGCCGTCTGTGTTCCATAGAACAGATACTGGACTGGATTTAGCCCATGTGCCACAATGTGCTGCTTCCTAGGTTAGACTGCATTTGGAAGGGCATGTGTATGTGGGCCAGAATGATAGGATTTGGGGTGGCAGCAAAGCAAGCTGACTGCGAAGAACCTTTCCCATCCCCATGACCTGCCTCCCAGCTCACCTTCTTACGGCTCCTCATTCCTCGTGGGATCTGAACTCTGCTTCCTGTAGTTCTCTTGCGTCCCAAACACTTCTTCTTCGGATGCTTTTCCTTCCTCTCTTGTTGTCTACCTTTGTGAAGGAAGGTTGTTCCTATCAGTAAAATATGGAATTAAAATTGGAAAGTATAGTTTTCCTTGTGCTAAACCACTAAGTGATAGCTCCTTCTGTACACATTCAAGTTCACTCTGCTTCTGTTCTTAGCCCTACTCTACATTGGTTAAGATAACTTGGCACCAACTCTGTGCATGTTCAAGATTTGAAATTATGACATGAGTTCCCTGTTTCACCAACATTGTATAAGACTTAGTTCATATACCTTTACTTTACTCCCTCATTGAAATTTCATTAAGCTAAGGATTTCTGAGGTCAAAGATTGCCCAATGATTTCAATGTAAGTCCAATTTCCACATACTATAATAAGCACCAATGGTCATAATACTTTATGTAACAATAATAAATAAAATAACCTGAAACAAAGAAAATTGTTGGTTTAATTCCAGTAGTTCAGGCATTTGAAATAAGTAAATCTCTATTAGGTAGCAATGCATGAACCCAACTGATTACATCACTGAGTTAAAGGACTACTGAGGGATGACTGGAACTTTCCATGAAATAACTAAGGTTATGTGACCCCTCCTCTATGTCAACTACCTTCTTGTTCTTACTGACTGAGTATGAAAGCACCCATGGGAATCAAACCTCCCTTCCTACTTCCTGCAAGAAAGGGGAGGGAGACCCTGAGTCTTGAGCTCAGCGGTGTCTCATGAGGAGTGGGACTGTCTGGAGGCTTTGGTGTGGCTGTGCTGGCCAGTCTTGCTGCCAATCACTTGTCGTCACCAGGGCAGCTATGTGACGTTTGACAAGTTATACAACCTCTCTGGTCTGTGCTTTTTCAGTAGGAATAAGACCTCTATTTCCTAGGATCCTCGAACAGTGTGTGGCAAGCACCAAGGATGATTATTATTGTTATGGTGGTTTGTGCTTTTAGTTGTTTTTAAAAGGAGACAGGACTTGAGGCAGATGCAGACATCCTAAGGGTCACACTGCCCTTGCAAGTGCTGATCCCTATCAGAACCCTAGGTGACAAATGAATGCTAAACCAGAGGAAGTTGCTATGATGCCTGAGTGAGCTGGCTATGAATGACGTCTTGTTCTTGTGGACTTTATTAATATCTCCTTATGATGGATTGTTCATTTTCTGGGTGTTAAGGGTGAAACTGTCGTCCGAGCCCCTGGAGAATGCTGCCCACAGTGCTCTGCACGATCCTGCCCCGTGGCCGGCCGAGTGTATAAGGTAACCTTTGATGGACCCCATGTAGCTGTGCCGACATTTGCTCTCACACGTCTGCCCTTCCCGCCGCCGCGACTCCCCACCCTCGTGTCTGACTCATTGCCAGGATTAGTAACTCAGTACATGAACGCCTTTTTTCTTCTCATCACGGGAAGCCTTTATGAAAAAAACTGAGTCGAAGAGGATTAGAAATATAGAGGAATGTGCTGTTTCATGAACCCTGGTGAGCTCACTGTTCACGCATTGTGAAGGGAAACAGGGCCTATCACTGGTTCCCATCAGGCTGTGAGAATGGCTGCCTGCGTTGGTTCGATTTTATGCACTAATACCCGAAGAGGCAAGCTCTCTCTCCTGTTACCTTACATTGAAGGGTGTGACGGGAGTGTGGAATGGGAGAGAAGGCTGGGGGTGAGAGTCTGATGATGACAGAACCTTCAGGGTACTCCTGGGACAGTCCATATGTCTGCCCAGCTGTCACAAGGTAGGCACCAAATAAAGATGTGTTCAATCAATTGGATGAATGAGTGACTGTCCTGTCTTAGAAGTGTCCAACTGAGCCAAAAGAAGGTCACATAGTCAAAAGCAAAGAACCTAAAAAATGAACCCAGCTTCTTCCCTCGCTTGCCTGCCACTCTGAGGAAGACAAAGTGGAAGTTGTCATTATGACTCTCAGTAGGGGACCTGAAATTGGCAGCTTCACAAATTCTGGATGGGCCACTTGAAACCTGAAGGAAAGTAACTAATTAGGAAGGGAGTTTTGCACGTGCTACCTGTGCTATCTGGCGTCGTAGCCACATGTGTGGCTTGCATTCTGTTCCATCATATTTTCTCTGGTTTCCTTTCTTTGATTTTTACATTATGTTTCTAGTTGATACGATTGTGCTGGACTAATTTGTTCTTAAAGAGACAGCCTTCAAATTCCCCTCCACAAGACAGTAACTGATAGCAATCAAGTTGTCCCGTGTAAGAAGCCTGGAAGTATGGCAGCCGAAGGGTTGATCAAGTCAGGTCTCAATGTTGTGCTAATGGATTGAAGCTGGTTTTTTTTATTATTATTATTATTTTTTTTTGACAGGCAGAGTAGACAGAGAGAGAGACAGAGAGAAAGGTCTTCCTTTGCCATTGGTTCACCCTCCAATGGCCGCTGCGGCCGGCGTGCTGCTGCCGGCGCACCGCGCTGATCCGATGGCAGGAGCCAGGTACTTATCCTGGTCTCCCATGGGGTGCAGGGCCCAAGCACTTGGGCCATCCTCCACTGCACTCCCTGGCCACAGCAGAGAGCTGGGCTGGAAGAGGGGCAACTAGGATAGAATCCGGTGCCCTGACCAGAACTAGAACCCGGTGTGCTGGTGCCGCAAAGCAGAGGATTAGCCTAGTGAGCCGCGGCGCCGGCCATGAAGCTGTTTTGATCTCTCCACCCTGTCATCTTATTCTCTTATTTCGCCAAGATGGCTTCTTTAGCACCAGGCAGCTCCTCCTCACAGTCATTACTAAAGGCTGGTGGAAGATAGGGGAGAGGGCTCTTTTTCTTTTATGTGGGATGAGAGTCTTTTCCACAGCTTCCATCACTGCTGTAGACTTCTCCTGAAGTCCCCTCAAGTAGGACGGGGACGATGCCCATCTCACAGCTGCAAGGGAAGCTGGAAAAACAGAATGTGGCTGCCATGCCTGGGTCTCCTGGCCTAGAATATCTAAAGAATGAACTCCCAGGAGTCAGCCAGCACGATCTTCCCATGCATCCCAGTGTTCCCAAGACCTCCGTGTGGCTGGCACAGAGCAGGCTCTCAACCTTTGTAAAGTGAATATAGCTGAATGAAAATTTATCCACAGTTCCTTTTGGACACCTATTGACATTTTTCTTAGAGACTCTCATTATCTAAATAATATAACTTCTCTGGCATACATTCCATGTAGTCCATTTAAAAATACAATAAGAAACCAGTGTGTTGTGTGTCTGTGATGTGTGTGACATTTATGTTTCTTTTTTCCTTTCTTCACTCAGCATGGCGAGCAGTGGAGTGAGAATGCCTGCACCACGTGTGTATGTGACCAGGGCGAGGTCCGGTGTCATAAACAGGCCTGCCCCCCGCTGAGATGTGACAAGGTATTTGAGAGCCAGGAGCTGAATTTTCTGTACTGTATTCTGGGTCACTTAAGAAATGTATTTCTCAGTCCAGTGTGTCCTCTGAGGGCATCACACATCTTACAGTGTCGAGAATGTGACGTTAGCCCAGATCTGCAGTCTGGGCAGGAGGGTTGAGGTGCAGGAGATCTGCCCTCCCCTGGGTCAGGTAGGGGGAAGACAGTCCTGTGTTTCACACGCTTCTGCCCCTATCGGCTTGGATGATTTCTTTCTCACCATCCTCTGAGGAGTGCCCTGCATCCATCATTTTCTCTGCTTGCCCAGGGTCAGAGCAGGGCTCGCCGTCATGGCCAATGCTGTGAGGAGTGTGTGTCTGCTGCTGGAAGCTGCTCGTACAATGGGATCGTACGGTACCAGGATGAAATGTGGAAGGGCTCCACCTGTGAGTTTTGCATGTGTGACCGAGGCCAAGTAACCTGCCGGGATGGAGAGTGTGCCAAAGTGGAGTGTGCCCAGGTAAGATGCGAAGGTATTTCCCTTAAGACTGTCACCATTCTTCCCAATGGCGTAGGATGCCCTGCGCCTGTTCCTTATTTCTTGGCAGCAGGAGGAATGGCCAGGATGACCACTCATGCTTCAAGAGGCTTCCCAGCACACGGTCTTGGTGGAGAGTGGATGCCACCATTGGTTCAGGCAGCTTGGAGCAGCATCCCAGGAGCTAGCTCCCAGCTCATCTGGTCGGATTGGAAGCCCTGAGCCAGGGACGTGAAGGGGAATGACATGGCATGGGACATTAGCCTATCCATCAGCACAGCTGGACCTCATTGCTGGTGGCCTGCCCTGTCAGCTCGCCGTGGCTGTGAGAAGCAGGACTGCACAGGTGCCCAGCGGCTCTGCTTCTGCTGTTGGGCCCATTGGCAGTACGGAGCAGAGAGGAGGCCAGCACCTGGGGGCTGCTCCTGTGAATCAGGGAAGAAGAAAAGTAACTTTGGATTTTGTTTCTAAGAGGGAGCTATGTGTACCTCATGAACAGTTAGCTCCATTGATTTACGCTGTCTGCAGAATTTCTAGAAGCTTCTAACAAAACAGCCTCTGTGCATTGTAGATGTATATGGCAGGGAAATTCCTTGGTTTTCCTCTTTGAACTTGATTTTGACCCATTGCAAAGGAAGAATTGCTTTTAAAGTTGTCTCCTCCCTGCCTGCTCCGGTCTGCCCCACCCGTTCCCCTCGGGGCTGTGAACTTGAACTTGTAAGGGGGACTTGAATGGTCTACCGCTGGGTGTCTGTGAAGGCATTTTTGTCCTTTCTGGTTCTTCTCCCCGGGTCTCAGCTCCTCTTCCCACAGATCCCGCAGCGCAGCCTTCCAGACAAGGCTGACATTGACAGGGCTGGTTTTCATCGTGCCCCCTCTTCCGGGTCTGGGCAGAGCTGAGGCTCAGTTAAGTGGGGAGGGCCTTGCTTTTGTGTAGATTTGGATGCCCCCCTCACCAGCTCGCCTTTTCATTCCGTTAGGGGAGTCAGCATGGTTGGATGGAGATGAGAAGAAAACCTCCCCTGGGCCCCTTTCTTCCTCTCAGACTGGGTTGCTTTGCCTCCGTGCTCCACCCAGGGGACGCTGGGTTGTTTTCTAAGGGTTTAATTTGTCTAATATCCCAGGAGTTATGGGAAATCTTGCAGAAGTGATTCTGGTAGGATGGGTCTTTTAAAATTTTATTTGTTTATTTGACAGGCAGAGTTCCAGACAGAAAGGGAGAGACAGAGACAAAGGTCTTCTATCTGCTGGTTCACTCCCCAAATGGCCACAGTGGCTGGAGCTGGGCCCATCTGAAGCCAGGAGCCAAGAGCTTCTTCTGGGTCTCCCACATGGGTGCAGGGGCCCAAGCACTTGGGCCGTCTTCCACTGCTTTTCCAGGCCACAGCAGAGAGCTGGATCCAAAGAGGAGCAGGCGGGACTTGAAACTGGCACCACAGTACAGGCTTAGCCTGTACACCGCAGTGCCAGCCCCAGGATGGGTCTTTTAGCCACTCACTTTCAGTCTGATCTGAGCAGGAGACTCATCTGCAGGAAATAATTTAGCCGGTTCTCCCTAGAGTGAGTAGCTGCCTGCGTACTTGCTGTCTGTGGATGCTCTTGGCCAGGGCAGCATAGGCCAGGTCCTCTTTGTCTGCCCTTGGAGAAGCGGGGAGCCGGGGAGCAGCTGCCAGTGTGGAAAGCATCTCGGTATTCCTGAAGTCCTGGCCCTGGCGTGACGCTACTCTATCTCATCCTGGTACTTCCCACCATCTGCCAACTATGGCTGTGTTAACAGTGCTGAGTCCTGAACCTCTTGTGCCCAGTGCCTGTGCTCTCTCTACCTCACCTGAAAGCCCAGGTGAGGAAAGCCTCAATCCCTGACTTCCCGTTCCTGGCAGACGCCAAAGCCAACAGCCACGCCACAGGTTTTTTCCGAGAAGATCCATCCACGTTCTCTTTGTGGGGCAGAAGGCTCCCAAGCCGTGGACAGGCTCAGGACTGCACAGCCCTGGGTCTGTTTCTTTTTTGCATTGAGAAATTTGAATGCCTTAACTCTATTTTTCTTGATCTCTGTTCAACCAAAACTTCCTCCAGATTACCCCTGTGTTCTCTCCATTTTGTGGAAGACACCAGGTCTTCAAATGGAAACACTACCAGAAGTAAAATTTTCAGCAAAATAGGCTCTTATCAAAAAGACTACATAGCCTTCTCCTTATGCCATCCTTCTAAAAATTGCACTAGTTAAAGAGCTTGCTAAAGCCTGGATGTACTTTCTTCTGCCTACTTTATATCACTGGTGATTTAAAAAAAAAAAAAAACTGAATAAGATAAATTCCAATGTCAAGAGTTCCCAGGTTGGGGCCAGTGTTGTGACGTGGTGGGTTAAAGCTGCCGTCTGCCACGCCAGCATCCCATATAGGTGCCGGTTTGTGTCCTGGCTGCTTCACTTCCAATCCAGCGCTCTGCTAATGTACCTGGGAAAGTGGTAGAGGATAGCCCAAGTTCTTGGGTTCCTGCCACCTATGTGGGAGAGCAGGATGGAGTTCCTAGCTCCTGGTTTCAGCCTGGCCCAGCTCTGGTCCTTGTGGTCATTTGGGGAATGAACCAACCAGAGGTTGGAGGAGCTCTTTCTGTGTCTCTTTTCCTCTTTGTAACTCTGTCTTTCAAATAGTTAAGTAAATCTTAAAAAAAAAAAAAAAAAAAGTCCCCAGGCTTTGGGGAAGTCCAAGAGGTAAACAGAAATTACTATACTCAGTGGCACCAAGGATTATGCAAATACGAGTTAATGCATTAGGAGGTCCCCATAGGAAATGCCTATGTCTGCCCAGGGAGTAGTGCAAATGCACTTCCTGGTATTTGTATTCCATTCCAGCCTGCTTTTTGCCCGCTTCCTTCTCTGAAATATCAAGGTCATTTGCTTTCTAAGTGTAAGTGTGTGCAGTTCTGCAAAAAGGTGCAAGGTAGCAAACTTTTAAGAGAGACAAATTGTCCAGCTTTGCTTTTGCCATCTTTATCATATTGGCTGTCAACAGCAGTGATCTGACAGTACTGAGATCAGTATATCATTTTCCTTTGTTAAAAGGGCAAAAATGGCCTGGTCCTTGTCTTTCAGATACACCCACCCCAAATCCTGACGTGGAGAGAATCAGTTAGTTTATGGGAGTAGCACAATATAAAGACTTTTATTTTTCTGTATCTTATAATGTCTTTGAACACAAATTTAGGTGAAGGAAACAGGTGATTTTAAGGTCTTAGCATTTACATCTGAAGTATAAAATAGGAGGGGAAGGAAGCTTGTAGCAATAGCCACACATAGAGGGGGAGGTGTCTTTCCATTGTCCACTGGATGTTCCCTCTTCCAACGGGCAGGATGGTCGACTCAGGGTCTTTTGTCTGCGGCATGTGGGGGAATTTGCTAGGGAAGGGGCAGCAGATTTGAGCTGGCCTATGCTGCAGAATCCTCTTTCAAAAGCAAAGAATGAGTTTTGTTTCACAAGGAAGTTTTGCTCAAAGCAGAAGCCAAAGGCTGATGGGAGCAAGCTCCCGGCACAGTGAACCCATGTGGTTTGGAACATCCAGACTTCTATAAATAGCAGCTCTATTGAGAGTGTCCTGAATCCTGCTTTCCCAGCAGTCCACGCTCCGTGATTTCCATCAGTGTTTGAGAGCTCAGAGCTGCCGGCTTCTCCCCTCCTCTGGGTGAGGGGGGCTCCCGTTATTGTTGGGTCTGTAGATATCGTCACGGGTACTGGAGAATCTCTCTTGCATTTTGTCCTTAATAGAAGTACACACCGTCTGTCTTGTTTCAGAACGTTGTTTTAAGCAACTTAGATTACATGCATAGAAAGCTTTTAAATGCTCTGAAAGCAAATTTCAGTCTGTGGCTGGGTTTTGCAGGCACTACCAGCTTATTTGTCACGTTTCTGCAAAAACAATTTATATGTAAATATGTCTCATCTCTGTAGCACCCACTGCTCTCCATTGCCTTCTGATGAGCGTGGACTTTTGATGGACGGTAATCTGTGGAACTCCTTTTCAAACAGAATAACTTCCTAGGCACTATACAGTTATAGTCATTCAGGTATTTTTGTGTTGCTTTTAAAAGTTTCCATTTTTCTTGACAGAAATCTTGTAAATTCTAGAAGATTTTGAAGTCCCAAGAAAAGAGACTAAAAATCCATTTCTAAAGCTGCAATCTAAAGAGAACCAATGCTTTTATATTTGTTTTTAGTGCAGTGTTTTTAAATATAAAATATTAAATATAAAATATCATTGTGGTTAGTCTTTTTTTTTAAAGTGAATGGACTTTTTTATTTTTATTTTTATTTTTTGACAGGCAGAGTGGACAGTGAGAGAGAGAGACAGAGAGAAAGGTCTTCCTTTGCCATTGGTTCACCCTCCAATGGCCGCTGCAGCCGGTGTGCTGCGGCCGGCGTACTGCGCTGATCCGATGGCAGGAGCCAGGTACTTATCCTGGTCTCCCATGGGGTGCAGGGCCCAAGCACTTGGGCCATCCTCCACTGCACTCCCTGGCCACAGCAGAGAGCTGGCCTGGAAGAGGGGCAACCGGGACAGAATCCGGCGCCCTGACCGGGACTAGAACCCGGTGTGCTGGCGCCGCAAGGAGGAGGATTAGCCTAGTGAGCCGCGGCGCCGGCGTGGTTAGTCTCTTTATGTCAGTTTCTATTCTTCACTTTTTACATAACATAGTTTCTCTGCTTTTAAATATGATATGGATTGCAAATTAAATATTAAATATTTAAGGAAACATTACCGTTCTTGAGAAAGTGTATTATGTTTGGCAATTAGGAAGTACTTTAAAGAATACTCCTTAGCTTATAGATATTGGCATTTGGATAATGGCAAATGACACAAAGTATTTGTGGTTTTTTTTTTAACAGCAGGTTTGGGTAGTAGGAATGCAGTAGTATTACACTGAGTTACAGAATTCAGAATTAATTAACTTTTGTGCTAACATTATTTTCTAATAAAAAATAAAAATTTTGCAGTTGCTGATATTGGGAAATTATAGTGATAAGGCTTTGAAAATTAGACATCCTCCATCCACGCTGGGCATTTCTTTTCATCCTCCTAGAGTTTTACAAAGTCGTTGTGATGGGAAGAGTTTCAGAATATTGAATAAAAATCAGTTTTTTGCTGTTTAATTTATGCCTGAGACTACATCTATGCATCTGATTTTGTATTCAAGGGAAATATTGGTTTGATTTGCACACTATTAATGAAACCAAAGTCACAAGTCTCAACCTTGGATATTTAAGATAGAATGATCTCCTTCTGAAACTCATAACTTTCTAGGACCATGAGGTTGACCGTGGCTGCCTTTCCTATTCATGTGAGTTCATGGTCAGAGGCGAATGTCTTCAGAGCAGAAAGGAAAAGGTCTCAGAGGCGTGCGCAGTATTGACGGGACTGGCCACAGGGCGACACACTGCAGGGAGACAGTGAGGGATGGGCTGGACTGAGGGTGTGCCAGGGTTTCTCATTCCAGTCAGGCATCCAGCTGCTTTGCAATTTAGCACTGCTACCTAGAGATGTTAATTTGATATGTGCCACTGCAACTCTTAATTTCTACAGGGTGAAGAATTAATTCACTTGGAAGGAAAATGCTGTCCTGAATGCATTTCAAGGAAGGGTTATTGTGTTTATGAAGAAAAGGCAGAATTCGTGAGTATTGGGTTCATCATGAAATACTCTTAATAATTCCAAATTAATTTTCAGGAGCGCATATTGCCTTCTGATTTGTTCTACCCTTCCCTTTGTTCAACAACTGCTGTTGCACACCTGCTGTGTCCCAGGTGGTGGGGATGTTGCGCCCGAGCACAACAGGCAGAGGCCCTGCTATCAGGGTGGGACCTACTGTCTAGACTGGGGATGCAAACAACATGCAACAAACACATGTATACATGCAATGAATGTGCACACATGCATACATGTGTCAGGTGCTGCCAAGTACTCTCAAGAGGAATCCAGGGGCCTGGGGAGGCACTGGGCTGGAAACAGGGTGATGCTCTTGCATTCCATCAATGTGGAAGTCCTCTCAGTGGAGGAAGTGGAGGGAAGCCTAAAGGACGTGGGGCATAAGTCATCCGGGTATCTGAGGGGAAGCCTCGCAGGAAGAGAAATCAGCAAACACAAAGGCATAGGTAGGCTTGACCTGTTCAGTAAGTGGCAAGAAGAAAACTTCTATGGCTGGGACACAGGGATGGAGGGAGAGAGGAGCTGGAGAGGAGGTTCAGTGCATAGCCGGGAAGCCAGCGGGTTTGATCCTGAGGCCGGTGGGAGCTGCTGGGCGTTGTGAGCAGAGCCGTGCCGTGTGGCTGCCTTGTGAATGGACTGCCTTGGCTGCTGCATGGCAAGTGATGGAAGGGCTTGAGATGGGAGGCAGGTGGTCCAGTTAGATGTTTGCCGTAGTGCAGGTAAAAGATGGCAGTGGCTTGGTGAACATGGTGAGTGGTGGTCAGGTCAAGATTTATTTTGGAGGTGGACAGATTTAATGGATGTAGGGTAGAACTCTGTTTGGTAACCATTTTGGGAATTTTTATTTTTTCTTGTTTCTGCACTTTTTTTATTATAATACCTCAGAGGAAAAATTACCTATCTTAACCTCATGAAACTTAGCCTATTTCTGTAGCTCATATTTTCCATGAGAGATTTTGGAATGTTGATAAATTAATTGTGTTCTTAAAAATATTCTGGCTGATTATAAATATGATTGGAATAGGATTATGAGAATTAGGATTAAGTGCTTTGACTAGTGAATTTATTTCTGTGCACTTTTTCTTTGTGATTTGGATGCATTGCGGCTGTCAATCTACCAGTGCTTCTGAATATTTTGGGCAAGTTCAGTGTTTAAATTCCATCTTTGCTGTTTTTAAGTATGATCTTGGCCAAGTTACTTAATTATTACTGTGAAGGAGGGTTAGCAATAGTACTTACCTCATGGGGCCATTGGGATGGGCTATATTTTTAAAAGCAATTTTTAAAAAATTGCTGCTATTATGCTGTTGGCATTGTCTCATAGTGGTGTTTCATAGTTTAGTCATCCTTATTTTTTAAGAATTTAAGATATTAAATGCTCCCTCTGAATGCTGAATTTTTTTAAAAAATTTAATTTCATTTATTTGAAAGGCAGAAATACAGAGAAGGAGAAGACAGAGACAAATCTTCCATCAGCTGCTTCATTCTCTGAATCATGGGAACAGCCTAGGTTGGACCAGGCTAAAGCCAGGAGCCTAAAACTCCATCTGGGTCTCCCACGTGGCAGGCAGGGGCCCAAGCAGTTGAGCCATCTTCTGCTGCTCTCCCACGCACATTAGCAGGGAGCTGGATCAAAAGTGGAGCAGCCTGGACTCAAACTGGTACTCATATGGGATGCCAGCATTGCAGGCTGTGGCTTAACCCTCCATGCCACAACGCCAGCCCATAAATGTAGAATTTGTGTTACTCACTCATAGTATCATGTTTCCTACCCAGTTTTGGAGGTAAATTATGCCCAATGGATTTGAAAAGGCAAAATTGTTTTAAATGAGTGTAAATGCTCTTCATATTCTATGCAAAATTTAAAGAATTGCCCTTCTGAGCTTTGATTCTTTGACCATGAAGTCTTTTATATAGAAGAGAATTGATGCCAAGTATACAAACACAATGTGAGAATAAGAATTCAAAAGCATTTCCCAAGTGTGTTGTCTTCACCTCGTATTGGTATGCTGTTTTTGTTTTTCACAGAGATAGATTTTATTTCTATTCATAACAAATGAATGAAGCTGCATGTTACTTGGGGAGAAAACAGATAACTACTAATGAAAAAATAAATAGGTCAGCCTAATGGTGTTTTAGTGGTATAATAAATACATGTTTCTCCATCCCTAGATATCTTCCAGTATGAGTGAAGTTAAACATATTCCAGTAAGTATGGATTTTTACCTTATACATAGATCACTATAAAATAGTTATAAGTAATGATCCTGGAGAAACTTAGTACCTTAGTATTTTTAACAGACATGTTTGGTGGCACTGTCATCAGGAAGTAAGATTCTTAATGATCACTAGACTTCCAACACTGGACATCTGTTTCTTATTCTAGCTTACTTTTTTCTATAACATTTACGTATATAGATGCATATATGTGTGTATATTTATATTGTGTATATAATGTGTGTGTGTGTGTGTGTATATGTAAGAGCTTCTTGGGCTTCTGCAGTGTTCCTTCCCCGGGTAGCCCTGAGCATTCCTTCTCCCTCGGTTATTTTCAGGGCAGCGTTGTTTGGTCTCTTTAGAGTTACTGGATTTATTTGAAAGGCAGCGTGGCAGAAAGAGGAAGAGATCTTCTGTTTGCTCATTTGTTATTCCCCAAAGGGTGACAACGGCCAAGGATGGGCCAGTCTGAAGCCAGGATCCAGGAAGTCCCACATGGGTGGCAAGGGTCTAACCACACGGGCCTTCCTCTGCTGCCTTCCTAGGCACATTAGCAGAAGTGGAGCGGCCAGGATGCAAACCCGTGCTCTGGTATTGGAATACTGGCCTTGCAGTTGGTGACTACCCACTGTGCCACAACACCAGCCCCTGTGTGGCTCGTTTGAAGGCAGTGTACAAACATGCTTTTACACACACACAAGCTTATAAATTTGGAGCTTCTAGAATAAGGGGCCAGAGACATAGTCTGCCTTGAAATAGAGCCAGGCCGCTTCTGCCTTTTCAGCCTTATAGACCTCAGTGTTTAATGTCGCCTGTTCATTTTCTTGTGTTCTGTCACCTTAATTGTTTTGGATGTTCAACATCCATTAGCTTAATACACGTTTCATCAAATTTTATTTTTAAACCTGCTCTCCTCCGTGGTGCTGTTTTACCTTCCTCACCAGCCCCGTACAATCTGGTAGGAACCCCTGTCTCTTGCCTACCTCCAGGGTGACTGGGTTATGAGCAAAAGGAACCGCTCTTTATAATTCACTTTGGCTTCTCTGTTCAACCACGGTGCTTATTAGCATAATTTGTTTGACTGAAATGAATGTTTCAGTGTGAGAAAGCTCACGGCACATCTACAGTCTCCAAAAGTGGGCCTACAAAAGTTTTAATTTTATGAATACAATGACTTGACTGTTCCTGTGACCATAGTAGCCATAAGGAAATCCAGGACTTTAACCAAACTGTTATTACAGTAATTATATTTAATGTCTCTGCTAATCACTAGGTACATGGTAATCCCCTTTGGTGATTGTGCATGTGTGCATGTGTGTGTGTGTGTGTGTGTGTAAGTTACATGAGTGTGTGAGTGAAATAGGTAGAACATGTTTTAAATGCTTCTTACATATGCTAGTATATGCTAGTCAATTATTTTTTTATTTGACAGGCAGAGTTAGACAGTGAGAGAGAGAGACAGAGAAAAAGGTCTTCCTTCCGTTGGTTCACCCCCCAAATGGCCGCTAAGGCCAGCGTGCTGCATCAATCCAAAGCCAGGAGCCAGGTGCTTCCTCCTGGTCTCCCACACGGATGCAGGGACCCAAGCACTTGGGTCATCCTCCACTGCCCTCCCGGGCCACAGCAGAGAGCTGGACTGGAAGAGGAGCAACAGGGACAGAACCGGTGCCCCAACCGGGACTAGAACCCGGGGTACCGGCGCCGCAGGCGAAGGATTAGCCTAGTGAGCCGTGGCGCCGGTCAATGCTTTTTACATATTCTAGAATCCTCCCACAGTTTATCTCTGGGTGTGCCTGATATTATTTGATAGCAGCTGTACCTTAAAAGAAATCGAAAAAGGAAAAATTCTGTTGTAAATTTAGTGCGCTTACACCTTTGACCTGTTTCTGGGTTGGGTTTGGTGGGGTGCTGAGCGGGTACTTCCACTCCGTCCTTCTGGGAATTCCAGGCGCCTCCTCAGCTGCCTCTCATCTGAATCCCGGCACCTTCCTGACCAGGCCTTTCTTTGCTGTTTCTTGCAGGAGGGCGAGAAGTGGGAAGATGGTCCCTGTAGGGTGTGTGAATGCCGGGCGGCTCAGGTGACTTGCTACGAGCCCTCTTGCCCGCCATGTCCAGTGGCCATGCTATCCCTGGCGGTGAAGGGACAGTGCTGTCCAGACTGCGCAGCAGGTGGGTCCGTGTCCCGTGCATTTCTGCCGAGATGGTTCTACTCACCCAATTCCATGGAGATTCTCCCCCTGCCCTGTGGCCTTTTCTTTAGTCACTCGATGGGTTTATTTTCCTCTTCCTAATTTTTATAACATGGCTGGAATTCATCTTTGTCCATGTGACTGCCTGAATCTACATGAGTATGTGACCTAGGCCAAGTCACCGACCCTTTCCGAATCTCATCTGTTTGCTGTTTGTGGAGAAAATGCACTGTATCTATCTTGAAATCCTGTTGTGAAAATCAAATAAGATAATGTTAAATACAAAACAAACAAAAAATGTGCAATGGTAAATCTACATCTTCTCTTGTTGGAAATGTAAGAATAATTGCTCAAAGTGTGTTGTAGCTTTTATTTTTCAAGGTGAGTCATTGAACATATGGTTCCTTTTGGAGTTCTAAAGTGGGTTTTATAAGTTTAAAGATTCATTAATTTTTTCCCGAAGAAAATTTTATCTACTTGTTTTGCAGTTCTGCTTTCAAGTCACCTGGGGTTGAATTACTCCCAGTTAATAATTGTTGGCAAGCAGTGGAGCTGTTTGGCTGAGTAGTAATTTGCCTATAAGCTTAGTCGCTCTTGGAGAAGTGGCATTTTCTTCCATTCATATTTCATAATTAATTGTTTTCATCTATGGGCTGTAATTTTTCATATTGGCACTTGCTCTTGTTACACTCCTCATTTTGGCTAATCACACTGTTTCTCTGAAGCATTTATCAAGGGAAAAACAAACCAACTTCATGGTTTAATTATATTACCTCAACCCAAATGGTCCTCTGGACTTAAAAAAATATTTGGTATACTATCATGTAAGATACACTGAAAATCAGACCCTTGACAACTTCTGAACAAAACCGTTTGCTGACGATTACCTCTAAGTTCAGTGATCATCCCCGATACTGGGATTTAAAATTTTAGAGAAAAGGAAGAAAACTGACTATTTCTTTTAAGATAGTAACCACTTTAAACATTGTGGGTTTTATGTCTGAACTTTTAAAAGCGTGTTGAAACTTGAGAACATCAAAGATATCATTGATGATTGAGTCTGTTGAAATTGGGTATTATGGAGGTATTCCTTCTTATTTCTACTGGCTTGATAGCAAATAGAAGCATTGATGAGGCTGTTCATTTGGCACTACTTTCAGTCTGGGGTTGAGGAGACCATTGGTGGTATCTCAGACCATTTCAAGGAAAGATGCCTGGCAATCAGGCATTAAAATACATTTCTTACTATTTTGGGGGCTTTGCACACCCAAGTTCTGCAGTTTTCTCCTTCGTGTCCTGCACTACAACGCATACCCTGTAGATCTTCTCTGGAGGCTGCACGGGAGATCACATGGTCTTCACTGAGTTCTCTTCTCTGTCCTTGATTCTAGTTCATTGCCACCCAGACTGTTTGACCTGCTCTCACTCTCCGGACCACTGTGACCTCTGCCAAGATCCCACCAAGTTGCTGCAGAATGGACGCTGTGTGCACAGCTGTGGACTGGGCTTCTACCAAGCTGGCAGTCTCTGTTTAGGTAAAGCCCCAGGTGGAACCCCCAAGGGTAGTACTGGAGGGTGATTGGAGAGACTCAGCAAAGGTAGTTGTCAAAGTGAGGCTCAGTATTGTCAAGAAGGGGTGAGGTCATGAATGCAGGAAATGCTCACCATCTCAAAACTGCCAGCAGGTGCAGTGTCATTCAAAGGTTGCCTGGCCTACCAGTCTCTTCTTTCCAACACCTAGCAGGTGTTTTGATGTCTACTGGGAGATGTGTGATGTGGAGGTCAGATGATTGTAAGCAGTCATAGCAGATTTTTTTTGATTTTTGAAGGGTCTCAAGGATAATACTGTCATCAGGATGCTTGATACAATTCATGCAAACACTCAGTTAATACAGGATAAGCAGGATTGATACAGTCAAGATCACTTATGGGGACTTTCTAATTTTGTGAATGGGAAACTTGTGGGCCAGAGAAATGAACTGACATGCTCAACATCTCACAGATCATTGGTCCTAGAGCTTATCTCTCTTATGGGAAGATCCAGACTGGGTTCGTGTGCATTTCAGAATCCTCACACATGGGAGAAGGAGCACGTACCTGGGGGAGTTTGGCTTGGTTGACGCCAAACCTTACTTTCCCCCTTATCTTTGATTCATGAGGTTATAATTAGCCACTTAAGGGTGTGTAGATTCATATCCTGCTGTAAGTATTTAACCTCTGTGTCTTAACATTCTTATCTGTAAGTCGGAGGTAATTCTGGTACCTTCTTCAGAGGATTGATGTGAGAGTAAGTGTGTCAATACATGGTAAGTGCTTAGAATAATGTCTAGGATATAGTCAGGCCTCAGTATGGAGTTGCTGCTATTTTTACAATTATTATTATTATTATTTTTACAATTATTCTTCCTACTTTCTCTCGCATTGTCTTCATTTTCAACCTTTATGGAAATTATAATATCTCCATCATAGGGAGGAATAGGGGCAGGGGATATCCTTGCAGAAGGCTTGAATGATAGTGATATTGGAGGCTGTTGGCTAAAGGGAAAAGAATATGGATCCTTGAACCAAACTCCCTGGCTTCAAAATCCATCTCCATGTGGGCTTGTTCCTCGCCTGTGGAACTGGGATTAGCGATATCTACCCCATAGAGTTGGCATGAGGATGAAATGCATGTGTAGATGTGGCGCGCTGCCAGCAGTGCCAGGCGCGAGCTGTGTGCTGTATCGTGGTGGCTGTTAATGTGGCTCCGCTGTCTTCCTTGTGCCCCGTGATCTGCAGAGCTCAGGATTGGGGGACGGAAGAGTGGGCTTCGGAGTGGTGCCCTTGCACTAATCACAAGTTCTCCTTCTCTTTCCCTGCCTTGGCCAGCCTGCCAGCCTCAGTGCTCCACGTGTACCAGTGGACTGGAGTGCTCCTCCTGCCAGCCGCCGCTGCTGATGCGGCGTGGACAGTGTGTGGCCGCCTGTGGGGACGGCTTCTACCAAGACCGCCACTCCTGTGCAGGTAATCCCTGGCTGGGCTCCAGCAGGGCAGACCCTAAGAAAGCTGCCCCATCCCACTCTGGCAAGTGGCCCAGGGCCACCAGGGGCTGTTAGCAGCTTTTCAAATAAGAAGACTGTGTAAGCCTCTCGATGAGATGAAAAGAACAGCGGAAGAGCGAGGTGACAAAGGTGTTTTAATAATCTTACTAGGTTTCTTTGGCATCTATATACTTCAGTAGGTTTATATGCCTACTGTTATTTTACTGATTTATTCTTAAAGTTTAAGCATAGTAATTATATGTATTTATAGGGTACAGTGTGATATTTTGATGCATGTGTATGATGTATGATGATCAAATCAGGATAATTGCCATAGTATCACTTCAAATATTTATTGTTTCTTTGTTATTGGGAAATGCAAATTCCTTTCTTCAAGCTGTCTTGAAATCTACAGTAACGTGTGTTAACTATAGTCACCCTACTGTGCCATTGAACAGGAGAAGTTATTCCTCGTGGTTTCTGTTCTCAACTTTATATTTTTAATTAAGATCTCATTGGAATTTTTAATATCATAGTAGTCTCTGGAGGTGGAAATGGTCATAATAGAATTCAATTTGTTGTTATTACTTGACTGTTTTTAATAGTATTTGTATTCATAAGGATAAATGTATAAAAACTGGTTAAATACAGAAATGAGAGAAAAGGGGAACAGTGAAAGCAGGGCTGAGGGGCAGACACTGAAGCATGTCTTCAAGAGCACAGGTCATCAGCTGTGCCCAGAACTGAGCCAGGGTGTGTGGCGGCAGGTGTGTCTCAAGAGGCACATGGGCCATCAGGGGGTCTTAGATATCAGGCCAGGAACCTGTGGCCACTGCTGTCTTGCAGTGTCATGAGACTTGTACATCTTTATGGGAGACAGTGTGATATTTTGAAACTTGTGTGCAATGTGTGATGATCAAATCAAGTTAACTGCCATGGCTATTTTATATATATATATATATATATCTCCCAGATCGGATCTGGGCAGGTCCTGGGTGGGGGAGGCGGCTGGTCCCCTCCACCCCAGGCCCTGGTCAGAGGCAGAGCTCCAGGTTCTGTGGAAAGTGTCTTGAAAGGAAGCCCAAGGGCTGTGCGTGCCACAGAGCTGTGGGAACAGAGGCCCTGTTCTGTAAGCAGCCAGGAAAGAGTGTCTGGCTTCTGAATGTGTCCAGCCTGAATTGTACCAGGCCCCCAAGGCTGGTAAAACATTTCTGGATCTCTGGAGCCTCAGCAAAGAGGGCTGCACAAAGAACTCAGCAGAGGCTGACCAAGCAGATGGCAAATGAATGAAAGAACAGCTACCTCTTGGTGGTCCTCCAGGACCCAGTGTTTCAGTGGCAACTCAGCCATTAAAGAGGAAAGGACCCTTGGTGCTTGCAGCTTATCCGGCTGTAGACACCTGTTAATTTAAAACAGACTGGAAGAAGGTACATGCAAAAAAAGTGCCTTCATAGGTGTCTACTGGTTGGGTAATTTGGGTTAACTGCTGAAATTTCACTTCGATGGAATTATCAAATGTGTTCTGGACTCCTTCTATCCCATCAAAGAGGCCTACTGCTAGCACTCCTGTGACAGATTTGCCTTTAAAAGGGAATTAATCCCCCCTAGATCTTTCTCCTCCCTCCACAGCACTCCCACCTCCAGAAACACACACACATCACATACATATTTACTTTTCTTTTTTTCCATTCTCCTTTCTCCTATGCTCTGTTTTAATTGGCGATGTTAATGCTGTTTTCAGGCATTTTGAAATGGGTAATGTTTCATTTGATTACTGGTTTATGTAGCTGACTGCTTCACATTCCATCCACATACCCACACACAAATGCTTCTAGTAGAAAGTTGCTGGGAAAATTTGTTCATGCTCCCTCCAGGGAATTAAACCAATTTGCTTTAGTTCAGGCTGGTTGCGTTTTTATGCATAAAATAAGGAGGAGAAACAGAACAAGAGAGAGAGAGAGGAGGAGAGAGAGGGAGATGATCTTAAAAATTAAAGCAAAGTTTGTGATCAATTTCCATATCCTGTCTTGGCACTGAGACAGCCCAAATCAGCTTTCTCAATAAGTGTCCTCAGCTTTGGGATCCTTGAGAGCCTTCGTACTTGTACCATTTTTGGTGACTTTTTACTAGTGACCTTGAAAGTCAATCCAATCAGCCAGCACTCTTCCAGTACGTGCTAAACTTTTCAAAAGCAAGCCTGCTATTTTATGGTAACAATAGGTTTTTCTGGGTTGATTTCTCTTGGCAGGGTCATTTATGGTATGACTGGGATAATTTGCCACTTTATTGATCCATTAAAACCCAAAGAAAGTGAACACTGCAGAGGAAATGAATTAACAGAAATCATCAGATTAATATTCATATTCACTAGTGGAATATAGGGCAGAGTGAAAATATGGGACAGGTCCAAGGAGCACATAAATATGGCTCTTCGGCCAAAGAGGAAGAGGAGGGAACCAGAGGGGGCTGAAACAGACACTGAGTTCTGCCAGAGAATCTCATCTTGTTTTTTTTTTTTAAGATTTATTTTATTCATTTGAAAGGCAGAGATACAGACAAACATGTGCACATGTGCACACACACACACACACAAACACACACACACAGAGAGGGCTTCCATTTGCTGGTTCATTCCCCAAATGGCCTCATCAGCCAGAGCTGGGCCAGATGGAAGCCAGGAGTTTCATTCGCGTCTCCCATGTGGGTGCAGAGGCCCAAGCACTTGGGCCATCTTCTCCTGCTTTTCCAGGTGCATTAGCAGGGTGCTGGATTAGAAATGGAGTAACAAAGATATGTACTAGCATCTATAATATGGAATGCTCAAATTGCATATGGTAGCTTAATCCACTGTACCACAACACTGGGCCCTAGAGAATCTCATCTGTAAGGACCCTTAATCATCTTCTCTTTCCCTTGGGTGCAGTGGTAGTCACACATACACACCTATATATATCATCAATATGTACACATCTATTAATATTACTGTTATAGTCTATGCTTGATTAAATAAAGTGTTTTTTTTAAAAAGATTTATTTATTTGAAAGGCAGAGATACACAGAGAAGGAAGGAGAGGGAGGAAGGGAGGAAGGGAGGGACTGAGTCTTTCATCCACTGGTTCACTCCCCAATTGGCCACAATGGCCGGAGTTGTGCTGATCTGAAGCCAGGAGCTTCTCCCAGTTCTCCCACGCAGGTGCAGGGTCTCAGGGACTTGGGCCATCTTCTACTGCTTTCCCAAGCCATAGCAGAGAGCTGGATCAGAAGAGGAGCAGCCAGGACTGGAACCTGCACCCATCCCTGCTCCATTTCTCCTGCCTTCCCCAGCTTTGGAATTTGATGCTTTGATCACTTTCCTTTAAGGCTCAGTACTACTACTTTTGTAACACCCTAAACTGGAGATGGGCAGTGTGTAAGTGGCCTCTTCTTTAGCAGGTAGGGCCATGGAGTAATCACTCTATTAGTGCCAAAACCTTGGATTTTAGCCCTGGTGCTTAACCTTCTGCCTTAACCACTAGGCTTCCTTTGTCTCTGGCTAGATCTGGGTCAACATCTCCTGCCCATGCTCTCCATTCTTCTGGACCCTATAGATCTCTGGTCTGGGGACCGAGCTTTTTCTTTTATTCCTGCTCCCTGTCCTTTTCTGACCCATTTGCAGGAATTAACGGACCATCTCGTAGTCACCTCTTGCCTGGTAGTCAGTCTCTACCCTGGCACGGATGTCCCTTGTCCACCCTCCCTGTCCCACCATGCTGCTTGCCCTTGCACACTTTCTGTATGGCTCTTGCATACTACTTGCCCTGGATTTATTCTGTTCTTTCGAAAGACTACTGGTTCTAGTATCTCATCTTAGGAACTGTCATCTTAAATCTTTTTTAAAAATTTATTTACTTTATTTGAAAGGCAAAGTTACAGAAAAAGAGGCAGAGAGAAAGAGAGAGACAGAGAGAGACAGAGAGAGAGAGAGACAGAGAGAGATTTTCCATCTGCTGGTTGACTCCTCAAATGGCCACAGTGTCCAGGGATGGGCCACGCTGAAGTCAGGAGCTTCCTCCAGGTCTCCCATGTGGGTGGCAGGGGCCCAGGCACTTGGGCCATCTTCTGCTGCTTTTCCAGGTGTGTTTGCAGGGTGCTGGATTGGAAGTAGAGCAGCCAGAACTCAGCTGGCACCCCTATGGGATGCCAGCGTCACAGGCAGAAGCTTTACCTGCTATACCACAGTGCCGGCCCCTTAAATCTAACACTAGATATTGACTGCGCTTTCCAGGTCCTGAGAGCACTCTTCCTTGCTTGTCTGGCCCCTCTTTTCAATCAACCTCTATTCAATTCTTCTGGGTCTCTTGAACTGTGCACAAAAATCTCTGACACAAAAGCCTGTAGGAAGAAAAGTTAAAACAACCAACAATACACACTGATTGGGTTAAAATGGGAACCTCATAAAACTGCAGATTTTGGGTAGAGCAGAGGCATAGGCTTTTTTTTTTTTTTTTTTTTTTTTTAAATACAAGCATCCGTGTTTGGTTTGTGTGTTTAAAGCTCAATGCTATTCACGGAGGTCTGAAGACAGAGCCATGTGCATGCTAGGTAAAAGCTGCTTCATTCTTCAGGCTGGTGAGGGGGAGGGAACATGGCGCAGTGGTTCAAAGCCTGGGCTCCGGAGCAGACCACATGGCTTCTAACCTTGGCTCTCATACTTAAATATTCTTCAACCCCACGCTTTAGTTGCCTCGTAAAACAGGGAAAATATCATCTGCCTCATAGCATTGGCAGCAGTTGGTGAATTCATGTACCTCGTTGAGGGTATGGAGCCTTGTTCCTATTAGCCTTCCATAGACATTAAGAGACTAGGATTTCTGTCTTCCACTGTCCTTCTCCCTCTCCCCTATTCATTTTCTTTTGACCCCTGCCTCTGTCCTGAGGATGTGAATGTAAATAAGCCTCAGTCTTTGCCTATACAGTGAGCCCACAGCCAAGGCATGTCACCAT